TTTCTTCCAGTCTAAACGCATGGCCTCGTGTCCTATGTAAAGTCCGGTTTGTGAATAATGTTATCATATCCCATCTCGCTGTAGGCAATAGACACTGTCTATGAAAGCTGTAGCAAGATGGAACTAGCCATGAAAGATAATCTTCTGCTTTCCGCATTGGACCACCTGGGTCCATTTAGTCCCTGCCTGAAATGTGTAAAATGTCACATGCTGAGTGTTTGCCTCAAATTTTCTCCCCCTCCCTCTCTCAAATACTAAGCAAGAGTTGATAAAAATGAGTGGCTGTACTTATATTTCTTTATTTTGTCTTTTAAGGGCCCATGAGGTCATTCCAATAAATTGCTGCTGCTGTTGCCTCAATCACCGGCACCATGTCTGGAATAATGACTATGCTGCAGCAGTTTGCCAATGGCCTGCGCAGTCGCAATGAAGAAACTCGCACAAAGGCAGCCAAAGATCTGCAGCATTACGTCACCACAGAGCTGCGAGAGGTGAGTCTGGTTTTCACATACCATGGAACTGTTCCTGTAATGACTAAAACAGATGACCCTTGCCAGCCTGTCTCCATCCACCAAATATAAAGCTTGGGTGGGAAAACATTTTGTCCTCACACAGTATTCCAAATAAAGCAGTACGTAAAGAGAAACTGTATGGTTTTTTTTTTCAGGAAGTCTATGAAAATAGTGTCCACTGCTGACTTGGTTATTTTGGGTGTGGGGGGGATGTCATGGCATTTTTTTTTATAATTAGTAATACAGTAGTTATATGAATATAATACTAGGAGTTCTGAGGAATTAAGACACAATGCTTGTTATCGAGAGATTATTTAAAAAAAAATCTCTGTGAATGCTGCGATTGAGTTATGGGCTGGCTGATGTCAATTCCTATGCACAGAATTGCAGGAAGTGGTTAAGGCAGCGGTTCCCAAACTGTGGGCGCCACAACGTGCACACAGGGGTGCCGCAGAATATTTCTCCTGTACTATGATTATAGCATCGGGGAAACATTACTGCTCAACAGGGACCCAATCGAGTGCCACTGTCCTTTAAGACCGCAACCGGGCCCCTGTAATGTCAGCCGACTGGAAGAAGTGACAGCCTGTCAGTTCCTCCCAGCATCCTAGAGGGAGAGGATGCAGCCGCAGTATGAAGGGAGAGGAGCATGAAGAGCTCCAGACCCATTATTCCTAACGCAGCAGGACTCTAAGCCACCCTCCTGGCACTTAAGGTAAGCTAACAGGTGGGTGGCTGGAGGCATTATAAATAAATAAAAAAAAATCTTGTGTGTGTCAGGGTGTGCATCTGTGCCTGTATGCGCACACACACACACCTGTGTCAGGGTGTGTGTTTTCATGTCAGTGTGTATCTGTCATGGTGTGGGCATGTTCAGTGTGTGTGTGTGTGTGTGTTTGTATGTATCTATATGTGTCGGTGTCTATATGAATTTGTGTGTATGTGTCGGTGTATTTAATGTGCATGAATATCTGTGTAAGTATGTACGTGCATACATCCAAGCAGTCAAACACCAGAACAACATACAAGCACACTCCTGCAATCTAACACAAATATTACATACAAACACATCCCTGCATTCAAACTAAAAAAAAATATACAAGCACACCCCTTCACTCAAACACAAATACTTCACACATATACATCCACATTTAAAAGTGAACATTACATTCAGACACACTCCTGTATTAAAACACAATAAATGTATACAAGTACCCATTCAAACTCCAAGACTGTTAACTACACTATAGCGCCAATAAATGCGGCAGCTCTGTACAGGTATACAACCTCGAAATTTTGACTTGGGGTGCTTTGGAAAAATACTGAAATATTAAGGGTGCCTTGAACCTAAAACGTTTGGGAACCACTGGGCTAAGATGTAGAGAGGGGTGGTAAAGAGCAAACCGTTGTAAATCACTTTATCCGGTTACCAGGAAACAGTGCCAGGTTACTCCTGGCATCATAACCACTACAGCGGGTTTGGAGTAACCTTCTAAGCATAAAAAGAGGCGTAGTGTAAGTTTAAGGGATAAAGCTATTTTATATCAAGTATGGTTTGTTGTTCTGCTAAACATTGTATCACATTATGAATGCTTCCAGAAATCTCTTAATGTTTATATTTACATAATAAAAAAATCTGAGCAATGCATACACTATACATGCAATTAATGCAAGCTTAATGGATCACTATAGGGTCAGGAACACAAACAGGTATTCCTGACCCTATAGTGTTAACACCACCATCTAGCCCCCCTGGGCCCCTCATGCCTCCATAAATTTAGCAAAATCTTACTGTATTCAAGCCTGAAGCTGTAACTCTGCATGCTGTTTGCCTCAGAAAAAAAGCAGTCTGCTGACATTATCAGAAGTGGTGGTCTGATCCAGTGCTTCACCATATGATTGTCTGAGAATGACAAAGAGGCAGATCAGGGGCAGAGCCAGCACGATTTAAACACAGCCCTGGCCAATCAGCATCTCCTCATAGAGATGATTTGAATCAATGAATCTCTATGAGGAAAGTTCAGTGTCTGCATGCAGAGGGAGAAGATACTGAATGCTTGGATGCATTTTAGGCAGCCATGAGCCAGGAAGGATCTCTAACAGCCATCTGAGGAGTGGCCAGTGAAATTATCACTAGGCTGTAATCTAAACACTGCATTTTCTCTGAAAAGACAGTGTTTACAGCAAAAAGCCTGAAGGGAATGATTCTACTCACCAGAACAAATTCAATAAGCTGTAGTTGTTCTGGTGACTATAGTGTCCCTTTAATACAGATCAGCAGGTAGCTATAAAGAGAGGGTTAAAAAAAAAAAAAAAAAGGCTCCTTGATTTCAACACAAATATAAAGATAGGCAGCAAGAAAGTCTTACACTATATTATGACCTTCAGGTTAAATTATGCACATTCTCTCCGTATAGAATGTAGATGTTTGTTGTTACTCACTCTTCTTAAAACCCATGAGAGCAGACATAGTCTCTAGTAGTGGAATGATTTCCATCAATCTAATTCACAGTGACTGGTGCTTCATTCTGTACCTGCTATTGCTCAGACAGACACTCTCCTGCATTGCACTTCTCAGTACCCCACACCCCCCATCTTCAGAAAAGATGTAATGAATACCGTATCACAAACAATGTACTCTGTTAAATATCATGCTAGCCAGCAAGGAGAGAATCTACAGAGAGATGCTTCGGCATTATTTTTGTTTGTTTTGTTAACCTGTAATATACTTAGTTTCTTACTCTTTTAGTTAGATAGATATGTGTTTAACAAAGTAAACATTAAAAAAAAAAAAAAAAAAAATTACCATCACTTCAAAAAGAATTTTCAGATATTTAAAGGACCACTATAGTGCCAGGAAAACATACTCGTTTTCCTGGCACTATAGTGCCCTGAGGGTGCCCCCACCCTCAGGGACCCCCTCCCGCCCGGCTCTGGAAGGGGGAAAGGGGTTTAAACTTACCTTTTTCCAGCTGGGGAGAGCTCCTCCTCTCTCCTCCCTCTCCGCCTCCTCCCTCACGCGAATGCGCGACCAGCGAGAGCGCAGCGCCAGCATCATTAGAAAGCATTATGGCGTTTATAGTTCTCAAATTTCTAGTAAATTACAGCGCCTCGCCTGGCTGTCAATGAGACAGCCACTAGAGGATTAGGGGGAAGGCTTAACCCATTCATAATTATAGCGGTTTCTCTGAAACTGCTATAATTATGAAAAAATGGGTTAAGCCTAGAAGGACCTGGCACCCAGACCACTTCATTAAGCTGAAGTGGTCTGGGTGCCTAGAGTGGTCCTTTAAAGGTATCTGATAAATAATGGCATCTATTTTGTTCTTACAGACACACGCCAACATTTTTTTTTAGGTTGATAGAACTCTGCATTTTCCCAGGTCTTTTAATACAAATTATACACTGTACCAGGATTCTTCCCTCAATTCAGTCACACACTCATTGGTGTTTACTGAGACAAGTTACACATGCAAAGCACCATCAATACAAACACAACCTTTTCTATTTAAACTCTTCCTGAAAAGGACTGTCCTGATAACAAGGGGTTTTCAGGGATTAACATTCTCAGTCTGATAATAATGCCAAACAAGTGTGATTTTTATCGTAAGCTTGCTTATCAATAAGTTAAATATACTAAATTTAAAGGAACACTGTTAAAGTACATTTTCACTCCGCTAAGGTAGTATATGTATTTATCTACTCCTCTACTTTACTTGCTCTCTGAAACCATGGCAGCTATAGAGCATTTTCACATTGCATTATTGAAGCAGGTAGGTATTGTTTTCATTTTTGTTATGACTTTGTACCGTGTTTTTGTAACTGACGTTTATACGTAATCACAGAGGCTACTTCATTGAATCTCTGGGTGGAAAGTAAGATGGCTGCTTACTTTAGTTAAGTCTGTTAACTGTTGCCAGTAACTTTGGGACGTGTGTATAGCACAGACAATGGTGGAAGTTAGTTATGTCCTCTTCTGACATTAAGTTAAATTGCTTTTACCTGAAACCCTTTTTTTTTTTTTTTTTAAGGTGAGCCAAGATGATGCCACACAGTTCTTCGATGAACTTAACCATTTCATCTTCGAGTTTGTTTCTAGCTCAGATGTAAGTGAGAGGAAAGGAGGAATTCTTGCTATTGGTAAGTGGTTTCTTTTTTTAATTTCTCACAGCATTATTTCATTAGCAAGGCGCTGTTACAGGTTTTCCCTTTGGAGGTTTGTTTGAAACAATCCAGGCTCTTGCTCATCACGACCCGCATCACACAGGCAGTGCCTTTGTAAATAAACATGGTGTTTATGTGTTTGCTTAATTACAATCTTTCCTGTAACTCCTGCGCTAGATTGTGCTGCTTTCTGTATTCACCTTGACTAAACCAACTGCACTATATACATTGTCTTCGTTTCTTTTTACTTCATTTATTTTCTTTTCATTATGTCTTTTATAATACATTAATGTAAATAAAGATACATTATCTTAAAGGACCACTATAATGCCCTGAGGGTGCCCTCACCCGCACGCACATTCAGCCCGTCAATAGGAAAGCATTCTCAATGCTTTCCTATGGACGCTGGCGTCTTCTCACTGTGAAAATCACAGTGAAAAGTGCGGAAGCGCCTCTAGCAGCCGTCAGTGAGACAGCCACTAGAGGCTGGATTAACCCATATGTAAACATAGCAGTTTCTCTTTACAGCAGGCAGGATTAATCCTAGATGGACCTGGCACACAGACCACTTCATTGACCTGAAGTGTTCTGGGTGCCTATAGTGGTCCTTTAAGTACAGTGAATGAATTCTGTCCTATCAAATTATTTATTTAAAGGGGTACCATAAGCACAATCAATGTGCACTGTAGTGTTTATGGCACTAGGATCGTTAATCTTTGAAGTTAAGTTGCTTTTTGCATTGTGGTACTAAGTTAAACCAGTCTCAATAGATTGTCAGAAAAAACAGCATGTAATTTTCACAGCTCACTAGAGATCAGAACATTTACATGGCCCTATATATTGTTAGTAATAATTACTGATTATCATCTGTCTGCATTCTGACAAGTCTTTTTTTACCCTTTGCAGTCAGTCTGATGGGAGTCGAAGGTGGAAATGCCACACGGATCAGCAGGTTTGCAAACTACTTGCGCAACCTGCTACCATCCAGTGACACTGCCGTCATGGAGATGGCCTCCAAAGCTATGGGACGCCTTGCTATGGCGGGAGACACTTTTACTGCAGAATACGTGGAGTTTGAGATGAAGCGAGCCTTGGAGTGGCTGGGACCCGAACGTAATGAAGGTCGCAGGCATGCCGCGGTAAGAACAAAAAGAGTTACTTGTGCTCTGGCCCAAATCCCTATGTACGTTTATACAAAATGGAGGCTCTTTAGTTTTATTCCAATGGCCATTTGAATGTAAGCTCACCTGCCACGTCAATGCCACGGTAAGAAGCTATTTTGGGTGGGGAAAAAGTTAAATGTTAAGGTAGCTTTACAATTCCCACTCTGACCCCATACAAATATAATTCCAATGCTATGGTCACATATTAAACCTTAAACTGATGCATGCTGTTCCTTGTTTAGGTTTTGGTGCTACGAGAATTGGCTGTCAGTGCACCCACATTCTTCTTCCAGCAAGTACAACCATTTTTTGATAGCATTTTCTATGCCGTGTGGGATCCGAAGCAGGCAATTCGTGAGGGTGCTGTAGCAGCTCTGAGAGCCTGCTTGATCTTAACGACGCAACGTGAACCAAAGGAGCTACAGAAACCCATGTGGTATCGGGTATGCACATTTATTCTTATTGTATATGGTGATAAGTTTGTATAAATTTTCTCTACAATGTAACAGGGTGCTCTGTTGTAAATAACTAGATATGTTGCTTTTCATTGGTTTGATCTTTCTTTTCTAAACTTTTATTTTTAGCAAACATTTGATGAAGCTGAGAAAGGTTTTGATGAAAATTTTTTAAAGGAAAAGGGTATGAATCGTGATGATCGGATCCATGGAGCACTCCTAGTTATCAATGAGTTACTGAGGATTAGCAGCATGGAAGGAGAAGTAAGCATCAGACTGGGGTGATTGTAGGGCTAAAACACCCTGAAACTTCTGCCTAACTTAAAATGACCCTCTACAGCTATATGTAGTTGTTCTGGTGTGTATAATTATCCCTGCAGGCATTTTAATGTTTACACTGCCTTTTCAGGTAAGAGGCAGTGTTTACATTACTGCCCAAGGACAACTTTAGTGCCGTCTGGCACGCAGGTGCAATAGCCTCCCACTGTTTTCCTATGGGAAAGCACTGCACTGGCTGAGATTGTCAGTTTTGGAGCCAGAAGCGACGAACCCGCACTTCAGTGGGATAAAGGTGAGTAATTTCACCTTTTAATTTGCGCACAGCCTGGCACGTAAATAGTGTTGACACAGCTATAGTGACAGGAGTACATGTTTGTATTTCTTTCACTATAGTGTTGTTATTATTGCCAATTATGTAGCGCCAACAGATTCCGTAGCGCTTTACAAAATTATGAGAGGGGGGATTTAACTATAAATAAGACAATTACAAGAAAACTTACAGGAATGATAGGTCGAAGAGGACCCTGCTCAAACCAGCTTACAGTGTTCCTTTAGTGTTGCTTTTTGGAATATATAGGACCATTCTGTTGTCGCAGTTTTTAGGGGCTGTTTATTAAGTCCAGATTGTAAAATTCCTCCTTTTGTTTGTATGCCTTTTTCTAGACAAATCTTTAAGCTCCATCACTAGTCTGACATTTCGAAGGAATTTCCAATCCTAATGAACACTGTAGCTTAAATTTACATGAACCAACCTATTCATCCACTATTTAGTGATAGTAAGTGTTTATGCAATCCACATTTTATTGGATAATGTGAAGCACTCATACTTGGGTTGTTTTGTTGCCATCTACCTGTGTGAATACAGATAGTCCTACCATCTAAAATGGGATTAGCATTCGGTAATTGGCTCGTGATTAACTGCCATGTGGCGTAATAATGAAGAGTGCATTGTCACGGTGTCGTGTAAAACAAGAGGGTCTTATTTTACTTTTCTTATTGCTAGATGAGATGTTTATTTGTATATTGATGAACGTGTGTTGTGTTGCTGTGATTTTGACATTTTGCATATGCTCTCAGTATTTCTCATTATTGTAAGTGCAGCTCAAACCAGAATTTACATCTTTATCGCCTCTCTTCTATTTCTCCATGTCTAGCGTCTGAGGGAAGAGATGGAAGAGATTACACAGCAGCAGCTTGTACATGATAAACACTGCAAGGACCTCATGTCATATGGGCTAAAGCCACGCCATATCACCCCCTTTGCTAGCTTTCAGTCTGTACAACCACAGCCTTCCAATGCCTTGCTTAGTCTCCTTGGCTATACTGGGCAGCAAGGGATTCTGGGATATGGCACAGCCCCAATGCCAGATAAGAATACCTTGGTAGAAAGTCGGACCTGCCGAGAACTTATGGATGAGAAATTTGATCAGGTACTATGGTCACTTATTACTTCTGGGTTTTTAAAACATGGTAACGTACTAATTTGACTCTCCCGACACAAGTTGGCTGAATAATTCATTCTGACTTCTCTTTTTCTTATAGATTTGCCGTTGGGTGTTAAAATGTCGAAACAGCAAAAATCCACTTATCCAGATGACAACGCTTCATGTTATTCCTCGATTGGCAGCATTCAGACCATCGTCGTTCACTGGTATGAGTAGGACAAGTAGAGAGTAGGAAATGTACTTGTATTTCTTGCAAGTGCCTTATTAGTCCCATACATCTTTTGTATTGTCCATAGCGGAGAACAATCTTCCAGATTCCATGAACCACTTGTTGAGTTGCGTGCGCAAGGAGAAGGAGCGGACCGTGGCTTTCCAGTCTCTCGGCCTCATCTCCGTTGCAGTGCGCAGTGAAATTCGTCCATATTTACCTAAAATCCTGGAACACGTGAAAGCGGCTCTCCCTCCCAAGGATTTTGCTCACAAGTGAGTGGATTTTTTATTATTATTATTATTATTATTACTACTACTACTACTACTACTGGTGTTTATAAAGCGCCAACAGATTCCGCAGAGCTGTACAATTAGTGGAGAACATACAATATATATACAGACAAATACAAAAGGTAGAGAGGGCCCTGCCCGTAAGCTGAGATCTAGCCATTTAAGATCTTTTATACAAAGTGCATAGCTAGATAGCCCATGAGCTTACAATCTAAAGGATACCGTGGGGATTTGAGACAAGAGGTAGCAGGGGAAATTTGGAAGTGATGGCCAAATAAGTAAACAGGGAGTTGCAGCTATTAGTAGAGTGAAGAGGTAAATGAGAGAGAATTTTAAACAGCTGGAGGAGGAGTCTATAAATTTAGGGGGAACCTGGGTGGGTAGAATTGTAGAGGCTTGCAGTAAAGATGTAATGGAAAATGGGCCTAGGGAGGGAGCAGAGATAAACAGTTATATCAAGGTATTTACAGCCAGGAGTGGCAAGCATGGGGGGGAGGAGTAGGAGGGAACAAGAAACACTTGTAATTTACAATTTAGAATTTTGTCAATCAAATCCTAACTAACATTTAGTTTACAATGTTGTCAAGAATTCATGGTTCAATGGTAAATCAAAGTAAATAAAAGCCAATTATGCTTATATTCTGATATTGCAAAAGACTCCAGTTTAATAGTTGTACTGAGTAGTAGCAGTAAAGAGGTACTTGTACAATCCCTACAGTTTCTTTGTGTGGCAGATAAATCTTCTTTTCAAATTAATCACCAAATCACAGTGAAAATTCACAATGATCTGTGATCAGTCCTGTTTTTCCCACTTAACGTTTGTAATGAAATGAATTGATGTATGTTTCCTCTGCACAGGAGGCAAAAGGCTATACAAGTGGATGCCACTGTTTTTACCTGTATCAGCATGTTAGCGAGAGCCATGGGCGCCACCTTACATCAGGAAGTAAAGGAACTGCTGGAACCCATGCTGTCTGTGGGCCTGAGGTGAGTTTCTGCACTTATATTGAAAGACCAGGGTTTATAAATCCATTCATAATAATCTTGTGTATAGAGCAACGACATATTCCGCTGCACCTTACAATGGATAAATTAAACAGTGTCCTAAAAATACGTAACTGTAACAAAGCATATTAAACATTCAAAAATGTTTGAAATGTAACCATCTTGGGTCAGTTGTTTAAAAATTGTCCATTCAGTGGGGCTGACAGAACAATAATCTTTTTTTCCAAGTTGCCATCTCTTTACTGCATACTACACAGATATGGCATGGTGACCATTAGTAAGTGATTTCATTTTTTACATTTATTAAGACTTTTTTTTAATAAGGCTTTTGCCTCGTTTTCCTAATCCAGTTTACACATTTTAAAATGATAGTGAATAGCAAAATACATTCACAACCCCCACGTGTCAAAACATGTCAGCTTTCCCAAGTTTTGCAAGAAACACCAGCAAACTAGAAAGTAAATCACACACAAAACTAAACACACACTGTTAAAGGAGCATTTTTACTATATTAATCCTCAAAATATTTTCAGATGGCCGTTTTTAGATGTAGGTGTAAATTTATTTATCAGTATAAAAAAGGAAACTAAACTATAATCTATAACAACTAACACAAACAATAGCTACGTTTATGTGCTGGAGTTAAACTACCATTTTCTTAGACATTGTTCCTTTTCAAATCATCACTAAATATTGACTTTGTTTCACATTAGCCCTGCTTTAACTGCTGTGCTGTATGACCTCAGTCGCCACATCACGCAGCTGAAGAAAGATATCCAGGATGGACTGCTGAAGATGTTGTCTATGGTTCTCATGCACAAACCTCTGAGACACCCAGGGATGCCCAAAGGTCTTGCACAGCAGCTATCCTCTCCCAGCCTCACAAATATCCCCGAAGTCAGTGACGTAGGCAGCATCACATTGGCACTGCGCACTTTAGGCACCTTTGAGTTTGAAGGTAATAAGTGATATTAGCACATTTGCATTTACAAAATCATTACTTTGTACCAGGCAAATAATTCCCATTGCACCTCCCCATCTATCTCTTTTTTTTATTTTTTATTTTTCTATTTTTTACATCTGAAACTTCTTTTAAAAGGATTCTGTGTGTTCCCATTAAATAATGAATTGCATTATAAGATGGTTAAACCTTGCGCAACTGGCTTAAAGAGGCCCTGCCTTTACTCTGGCTTTTCCTGAAGGTAAATCGAACCGGGTTATTCCCTAATGTCAGAATTGCTGGGAGTTCAAAGTAAATTAAAAATTCCTAAAGAGTCCTAAACTTTGGAATTCAGTTTGAATTCCTGACAATTCTCACTTTAGTGAATAGTCCTGTTAATAAAATAAGTAATGCTGACTGTGTTGAAATATCAATGACACCATAGTCAAAAAGTGTTAGAACATGTCTAAAGGCAGCACTTTAATTTATGTCATCATGTGGGATAAACGCTTACTCTCAGGATGGATTATGGGAACCAGGGAACCAACATATTTTGCTCCTATCCTACTCCTTGAAGTAAGTTTGCCGGGAAAACGGTTAGAAAAGTCCTAATCGTTCATCCTTTGGTTTAATACTTAGCAGTGCTAGTCATGCAGGATCACATAACCCTGAACTCTGAGATAAAACCGGTTGCACTAATTGAAAGTAAAAACCTTAGACCTTGGTTGAGTTAAGAAACACTTTTTTTAATAGAGCTTGAAGCAGTGTCCGTTACAGAATTGACTTGGCATGAACACTTTATTAGATAAATGGAGTGAACACAGCTGCAGCTCCTTTTTTTTTTTTCTTCTTTCTTTCAGGCCACTCTTTGACTCAGTTTGTGCGTCACTGCGCTGACCATTTCTTGAACAGCGAACACAAGGAGATTCGTATGGAAGCTGCCCGTACTTGTTCTCGGCTACTTACTCCCTCCATACAGCTTCTCAGTGGACATGGGCATGTAAGCCAGACAGCTGTGCAAGTAGTGGCCGATGTTCTGAGCAAACTTCTGGTTGTAGGGATTACAGATCCAGGTAAGATTATATATCTACTGTACACCACTAAAGGGGTCCATGTGTGTAAAGCATTCCAAATACCCTTCTGAGTTTATTCAGCAGTCTAGCATACCTACGGCTGGCTCGTTGAAACACCTCGTAAGTTTGGGAAATCTCATCAGCACTGTGTTGATGGCAGTTTTCCGACATGAGCAAATTTGAAAAACTATTTATGTATTGAAATTATGGTGGGGTAGCAATGAATTTTCTTCTTAGATGAAGCAACAGGGTGTCCTTGTTTACTGTTAGTAGAATACAGCTAATCTTGCCAATTTTCATAATGTGACTTTACTCAAAGCTAATGGTTCGATCCCATTATGTTGATTGTAGGGTTGTGAAAACATTTAGATGACATGTTCTCTTGGTGATGCTTCCTCTTACAACTCTTTTTTCAGACCCCGATATTCGGTACTGTGTACTGGCATCTCTGGATGAACGCTTTGATACCCATCTGGCACAGGCAGAGAATTTGCAAGCTTTGTTTGTGGCTTTGAATGATGAGGTGTTTGAGATACGTGAGTTGGCAATCTGTACCATTGGGCGCCTCAGCAGCATGAATCCAGCCTTTGTCATGCCTTTTCTGCGAAAAATGCTTATTCAGGTATGTGAATTGATTTCAGGAGTCTCTGCTAATCACTACTTTGCTGTCTACAAATTCTAATGGTTATCACTCTATTTAGATTCTGACAGAGCTGGAGAACAGTGGAGTCGGCAGGAACAAGGAACAAAGTGCTCGCATGTTAGGGCATCTGGTATCCAATGCCCCGAGACTCATCCGACCATACATGGAGCCAATTCTTAAGGTAGCTGCAGATTTATCTAGAGAAAAACCCTGTAGGTGTCAGATTACGCTGTTGTAAGTTATTAATCAAATCTTGGAAAGTTAAATTCCTCTTTCAGTGTTTAGAGCAGAGGTACAGAGAAACATATTTACTATTCTATAAAGGCACAGCATGCTTGAACAGTACATAATGTTGGAAATGAATCGATCTAATACAGACTGTAACCCTAGAATAGGATGATGAGATGGTGCGTACTGTGAAATGCTTGCTATTAAGTAGGCATGGGCTGCTAGCTCGCTCAGTACACGCAGAGAGAAATGTATCTGGAGAAGAATATAAACATGGACGAAGATAAAATATTCTGTTTGCACTGGTTCGGTGTAGACCATCTGTTAAACTGCAGAAATGAGCTGTTGCAAGACTCCAGTTCGGTTTGCGGTTCCACAGTGAGTGGGTCCAAAAACCCTGAGGGCCCATTCTTTAATACATCCTTGACAGTAGAAATTCTTGTTTTGCAGTCATTTCAGAATATAGATTTATCAGCAGGTTATTTATATCATTATAATAAATTGGGCTATTGAATCCTTTAGCACAGCTGCTGGTGTATTTGTATTGGTAATTGCAGTGAATTGAATACATAGATCAGCAGCTCTGACATGCGAAATGCGCTGATGAGTCTGACGTCTAGAGCATTGGTTTCACAACAGCACATTTATTTGTAATTACCAGGCTCTCATCCAAAAGCTGCGAGAGCCAGATCCCAACCCCGGAGTTGTGACAAATGTCTTGGCGACTGTTGGAGAACTGGCACAGGTAAGCGTTTGAAAACTGGTTTAAGAAATTATTTGTAAACATCTGTATTCATTGGCTTTATTTTTACGAACAATGTGTTTGATCCCTTCAGGTCAGTGGCCTCGAGATGAGAAAATGGATGGACGAGCTGTTCCCAATAATTATGGAAATGTTACAAGATTCCTCCCTGCTTGCCAAGAGACAGGTCAGTGCCGGGATACGGCATAACAGGGGAGGTCTATGAAAAGCATTGCTAATAGAAAGGTGGAGCAGTCCGGTGGAAATCAAAGGCATTTTCTTGCTGATTCCATTCGCTTCCACGATGACCCATTTTTAAAAGCAACCCAGTTATAAATCCTTCAGAAGTTCCTTGTCCATAAAATGTAATAAGACCACAGTAACACCAGCTGTAACTTAAACTTAATTAAAATATGTTTCACTTCATGTATATTTCTATACATTGGGCTTTAGAATGTATAGATTAACCACTTGATTATGAAGGCAGAATCTGCTTTAATTTATTTCTGCCACCATTTCTGAGGTCTGCAAGGGAGAAATGTTGAAATTATATACTCAACCAGGACTCCTGTCCCTAGGAATTCTGCACCCAACAGAGTGGATTTAATGTATTTGTGGTGGGATTAATTTATTGTAGATGAAAGGGAGACTTTTGTTCCAGGAGAGTTCTGTAATGTCCGTGTTCATGGCTTCCTTGACAGCAAAGGAAGTCGTGGACGTTCCCTTTTGTCTGCAAGGATTCCCAAGGTGTGTTTCATGTGATTGCTGTAATGGCAGCATATTGCAGAACTCTAGGGATATAAATAAAATAATCGCGTTATGTGCTTGGGCTTCTCAGTGCGACCTCATGTTGCTGTCATTTACCAGATTACACTGCTAACCATGTCTGCATTCCACGTTAAGCACTGTAGTCACCCAGACCACTTCAGCTCATTTAAGTGTTATGGGTGTAGTGTCCCAGTCCGACTTCGCGCTGCAATGTAAATGATTGCAGCTTTTGAGATACTGCAATAATTACATTGCAGGACTACGACTGGTTCTAGTGGATGTCAATCAGACAGCCATTAGAGGCGCTTCCTGGTTGCTAATGGACCTTTTTGTTGCCTAACTGGCACTGGACGTCCTCACCCTCTGCATGAGGACAATTAGCGTCCGTAAAATCCCCATAGGAAAGCATTAAAGCAAAGCTTTCTTATGGGGAGGGCCTAATGCATATTGGTTTTCCATCTCCCGGGGCGTGTGGAGTGCTGACCCACCACCGAGGGACATTGGTGCTGGAATCGGGTAAGTGACAATCAGGTTTTTAACCCTTTTAGCTGCTGAAGGGGGGACCTGAGGTGGGGGGAGGCAGGGGTGCTATAGTGTTGGGAATACCGATTTGCATTCCTATCACTACAGAATCCCTTTAAGGATGTGTCTCGGCTAATAGAGGGTAAAGGTTTACACTTTTTACTGAAGAAACCCATGTTTTCTCAACTGTTTCCATGGCATGGGCAGCCAACTGAGAAAATTGTTATTTGGGGGTAGAGATGCAGAGATGGTGCAGGATTATTTAGAAGGTTTTGCTATTTAAAAGTAATTCACATAATGATTTTTGTTTTAGTTCTGTTTCTATGTAGAAGCTTATTAGATACATTACAAAAAATGTCCACTTACTACCTAACTACCTTACTACTTTTTTTGTGTAGGTGGCCTTGTGGACTCTTGGACAGCTTGTTGCAAGTACAGGTTATGTAGTAGAACCGTACAGGAAGTATCCTTCCTTGCTGGAGGTGCTGCTTAACTTTCTGAAGACAGAACAAAACCAGGGAATACGTCGCGAGGTAAGATACGCGTGATACGTATCATTTATTCATCCTGTACAAACTAGGTTACAGGATTATGTAGCGTTGGTGATAAAACAGTATCCAGATACGTTGCCAGTTAATATTATTTATGTTCATATCTTCTCTGTCAGGCCATCCGGGTGCTAGGACTCCTTGGAGCTTTGGATCCATATAAGCACAAGGTGAACATTGGAATGATTGACCAATCTAGAGATGCTTCTGCCCTCAGCATGTCTGAATCAAAGGCTAACCAGGACTCCGGTAAGTTTCCTGGGGGAAGGTGATGTATGAGATAAGGTTCCCGTGTTGTTTTATTGAACCAATCCATATTGGCTTTCTTCATTCCTGCAGCGGACTATAGTACAAGCGAGATGCTGGTTAATATGGGAAACATGCCCAATGATGAGTTTTTCCCAGCTGTGGCTGTGGTTGCTCTGATGAGGATACTGAGAGACCAGTCATTAAGCCATCTTCACACCATGGTGGTCCAAGCCACCACCTTTACCTTCAAGTCCATGGGCCTTAAATGTGTGCAGTTTCTGCAACAAGTTATGCCTATTTTCCTGAATGCTATCCGCCTTTGTGACAACACCATCCGAGAGGTATACAAGTTCTTAAAATTGTATTTAGAGGAGGATCTACCCTGTTCTACCAGTCAGTCTTTCTAACCCAATATAAACACTAGGCAAGGGCAGAGAAAGGGACCATTGTCCATGTTTTATTTCTAAGGTCAAAGCAGTTAGTGGAGGCAGTGAATTCCCCTCAGTATTCAGAACAAAAATATTTGAGGCTCTACACAATTATATTTATACTTCTTCATTAACTGCTGTACTACTGTTATACTTTAAAGATTGTGTCATCTCATTGCATGTTACACCCCTGATGTTATAATACAATGATGCTTTGTTCTTGACATGCCTACAAAATTAAATTAAAATAATAAAAAAAAAAAAAACAAGAAATGAAGGGATCAGAGGAAGGAGATTCATCCTTTATAACCAAGCTTGAGCTTGGAAGAGAATTATTGTTTAAACAAGAGGTTCATTTTTCAATATTAGAGATTGAAAGGGTTCTAGCACAGACATTTAAAGTTTAGTGACGGTCATATTATCAAGGCTTTAAATTAACTCTTTAGTGGTCTGTATTTATTGTTTGTTTTTGTTTTTCCCTCTCTCCATAGTCACACCAGCCGTCTCCTCAAGTAAGTAATGGAGAAGATGCATTCCATGTAGGTGACGGTTGGGTTTCCTGCATTAGTGGATTTATTTAGTATATAAGACAGGACATTACGGTTCATCCATTTTCTGAAAAACCGATGAAGCTTGTTAAGCCGTTTTCACAAACTGGTAACACAACCTGTGGGCCTTTTGCATGGTCTGTTAAGTAATGTAAAGTGTGTTAAGTGATTATATTTCAAAAAAAGCTTTTAATAGTAGGGTATAAACTCATTTTATATAGCTAGTGTATTTTTTTACAGCATTATTTTTAGCATGGATTAAATGTTATCCTATGCAGTTACTCACCACTGCAAGCCCTAACATTTCTGTCCTTTCCAATAAATTTCTATGCAAATACGCTTTCTAAATCCTATTACATGACTGCCTAGAGATCTCATGAAAGGTCAAGGAATTTATTTTATTAACGGTTTACTTAGTCAGGTTTATGGTTCCCCAATATTTCAGAGCTATCTTTGGGAGATATTTCAGGTCCGAATGTTTTGCTATTGAGAGTTCTTTGTTTGTCTGATCTGTCTACTGTAATAAGAAGCGGAAAAAAAACCCAGTAATGAGCATGGACTATTTCAGAGCCCATTCTTTGCTCTATGTTGTACTAATACATTTACCTTTTTATATCCTTTTCCCTCCCCTGCTTCGACTTTGGCCCAGAAGAGGACAGGACTGATGTCTCCTCAGGTATGTGACTTTTCTCACAACTGTGCTTTATGTGGTTAGACTTCAAACTAATAAAACAGGGAAATTTAGGATGAGCAATCCTGGGGTGTTGTAAATGGACCAGTCACCATGGAAACTAGTAGAATTTTAATATTGTTCCACTTTTAGAACTGTAACCCAGAATTACTCCTTGTACTGAATCTGCAATCACTTTAATCACATCTAATGGTAACCTTGAGACCAGTGCTTTTTAACTTTATTTGTATTTATTATTGTCAGGGACCCCAATTATACATGGTATTAGTTTGAAGAACCATTCTTAACTTCTTATACTACAAGCCAGACCTTAAACGTTACTTGCAAACAAAGACTGGGCACAGGTCTAAAATCCAGGCAGGTTTCATGGCTGAGAAGCAGCAATGTTTTTGCTTTTTAAAAAGCCTTGGTCAAGCTGATAAATGCTCTGTCAGGAGCTGAAACATTGCTGCTATTCATCCATTAAATCTTCCTTGATTTTATACCTGTGCCCAGTCTTTTTCTTTAGAATTACCTTTGGCGTCAAAGTTTGGTCACCTGCTGACTGGAGGCACGGTTACTGTTTTTAGTGAAAGCCTATCTAGTTTCTCCTTTAAGTTACTTGCAAACCGTAGCATAAACACCAAGGCTGACGTTCTACTCCCTAGAGCTAAAGGCAAGGGGGAATTTTGAGCCCTGAAGAGATAAGAATTGTTTGACAATGTTTTTTCATTTCAGCTGTCATACTCTAAATGACCAGTCATAGTAGATGCAGGCTCTGTATAACAAACATTGCCTCTATTCTATCTTTTGAGGTAACAAAAAACCTGAATAAAAACACCAGTTTGAATCCGTCACATATAGTGATAAGCATCAATTTAGAAGACTGCATAGTCTGTGCTTTCTAACATAGCCTCGCTAAATACAGCTTCAATTCTTCATAATAATACCTTTGTATTGTTGTAAAAAAAAATAACATGCAGTAAGCTGCCAACTTGGGTGGCGTTAACAGGGGTAGCAAATAGAGAAAAGCAAGTGGAAGAAAGAAGAGGACAATGAGAACCTAATGTTATTTTAATAAAAATATTCAGTATTCACTGCATTTGCTTTGGTGTTTGCGTTTGTGGTAAGTGTCTTGGTGGTAATTTTTCAGTCTGGCTTGTGAAAGAATGTTGCTTGCAATTAGTTTTTAAATGCTCGATTTACTGTTGTTGTTTTTGTTTTCTCGTGGGAGATACTGTATTGGCTTATGAACCTACATTTACACCATACACAACATATCTCACAAACCTGTCTTGTGGCCCACAGTTCATGTTTCAGCAGTTGGGGATGCTGGTCTCATTTGTACGCAGTCATATCCGCCCATACATGGAAGAAATTTTTGCTCTTATAAAAGTAAGTAGAAACAATGGATTACACTTAGCCTAATTGGCTTCTTAGCCGCGTCTCGTTAAACAGTTGCACCCAAAAAATAAAAATAAGACAATATTTAGGTCAAGCTATTTTTCACAAACCACGAGGTGATCGGGTCTGCATTTGGTAAGTATTTGAATGCAATCTGTACATTGTGATAGTAAAATTACAAGCAAATATATGACTTAGAAATGGTGCATGCTAAGTGGACTATGTTCCACAACTCTGCTTAGGGTTCAGTGTGTTCCAACAATGCCAAGCAAAGCATTTCACAGGGAGATGGCGCTATTTACACTAAAAGTCAGTTCCCATTCCCAACAGCCACCATTATAGTAGTTTATGTATCTGTATTGACAGCCATGGAATAGGGAATTTCTCCAAAAAATAGAAAATGTAAAGTTGTATATTGTGGACATAGTAAAATAAAAACAGGAAAAAAAAATTGCATTGTAAATCAGATAATGACTTTAAAGCCCAGCATTTTCATGTATATTACATCTTACATTTGGCCATGCCTCCTGAATTTGCTGGTTAAAGCAAGGTAGATAATCAGCAGCTGTCTAGCAGCATTTCTTACCAGTATTGCTTTCATAAACAATGAGTTATTTGTGGTCTGCACTTTTATAGTCCTGTCTGAATTATTACACCCTTATATGACATCCTAGTGCTGCTTGCCAACATTTTACCGTTTACAGGGTAGTAAGTCAACGTTGATCAAAGTGTTGCAGCAAATGGCAAACTTTTTGAACAATTGGTGTTTTTTTTGGTTTTTTTTTGCTAAGAATTTTCTTTATGTCTGCTATAGAGATTTACACTAGTAAATTTAAAGCAAAGAAGAAACATTTTTACTTAAAATATAAATCTTGTAGGTCTTACTAACATAAAATGAATTCTCTGTATTTTTGCTTGTAATTTGCATTAGCTGCACATCGCCACCATAAAAGATACATTGTTAAGAACCATTCTACGCTCGATACGGATTTTCATGCAATCCAGGGGACATATGTAGTGTGTGTGTACATCTCCCTCCAAATTTATTTCACATTTCTTCAGTAATTTACAAAACTGGGGATACTAATAGCTGCATTGCTGATACACATTTTATGGTGGCTTGCTTTTATTAGCTGCTGTTTGCTTTCGCTAGGCGGGTCCATTGCTCAACCCACCGAATAGGTGTGGACATTGACACATATTCAATGTAAATAGCTACCAGTACTTTTTTGCTGCGGCATATGCAGTGAAATTCCTGTAGCCTGGAATTGTGGAGAATGTTTATTGCACATTATAGCAATTGCAGCCTTTCTCCAAACACCATATTTATCCAGCTTTGGGCTAAAATGTGCAGTTCCTTTTGTCAGTGCTCCACAGTTCCGCTTTGGTCATCAAACCCCAAGAGCCTCACGTGCTGTGCTTGTTAATATGCATGCCATCTAGCATCACTTCTCTAGAAATATCGGTGGAAACTATTTTTCTTTAACTTCTTCTTGCTCTGTTTGGTTTCGCTTTCATTACATACAACATATATTATCCCCACACAAATGATCTGCTTGCTTTCTGATGCTGCAGACAATTTTATTGTCACTCCAGGCTGGATCTGCCCCACTTCATTGCTAATGCGCTTTATATATATATATATATACAGATAATGTATAAAGAAAAAGGAAAAAAACCTCACTTCTGAATATCTTCATTTTGCAGGTTTTCCCAGGGATTGGGAATGCCTCCTTTTCCGCTTACTGAGACGCGGAAAGGGTTGCAATTAATCAGCCAGTGTTCCGTCCTTTCAAATGAATGGGAAGAACATTGTATGTACATATGACATCACACACATGCATGCCTTGGTGTCTGCATGCATGTGATGTCATCCGAATACGTAATCCGCTGATCCTCAGACGATCATGGAAACACCTGAGCATGCTTTGTGTACTGCTGAGAGTGCCTTTCAAGATTTGAATAAAAGCACTTTCAGCAGCCATGCCTATCTGAATGCTACAGTGCTCTTCTCATTTGAAACGGACGCTGGAGAAGAAGATATCTACAGGAACTGTTTATTAGTGTTGGGGTTTTTTTTTTTTTTGTCTCTTTTTATGCTGCGTCAGGTGAGTTATCTTACCTGGAGTGTTAAAATGCACAATCTCTGTCCAGGTTCCGGGAGAGACCCTTTAACTTAATGAATCTCCTTAATGAATATTTTGAGCAAATATTTAAAATGCTCACAAAACTTAAATAACAGCTTGTCCCCTACTCCCCCTCAAAGTGTGGGCCCCCTCTGGAGCCGGTATTGAAATATTAGCTTTGTTGTAAATGCAGTGCACTTAAAGGAACACAAACCTGTATTTCTAACTCTATATTTAGATTTCCCATAAATATAAATAAAGCTTTGAAACAAAAAAGGCTTTTATTTGCCTCTTTCCACCGTCTCTGCATCCACTTGATCTGCCCCTTGCAACATCACACTTCTAAAAGTCCAATCCAGTGCACCTTATAGAAGAGCATTGGGGACGAAAATCTCTAAGCTCCTGTTGGAGATTAGCGGAACCACCTCTAGTGGCTAACCGGTAGACAGCCACTAGCGGCGTATTGAACCCTGCAATGTAAGCATTGAATAGCTACTAAAACTTATAGGCAGAGCAGGTAGGGGCGCCACTTATCAACAGTTTCACATTCCTGTGATTCCTGAACACAATTCTGTACATTGCAGCAAGTTGAGAAACATTCAATTGGAAGTATTTGGGGGGTTCATGGGGAATAAGTCTTTTAGCTTTTTCCAGGTTTTTGCCTAACATCACATGCTGAGCATTTACCTTCCGGTCCTAAAATAAAAATGTAATTCCAAATAAAATCCAGTCCAAGATATAAAGGGATTCTGCTATCATCCTGTCTCATTAAGCTTTTGCTGCGTGACCTTTGCAGGGAAAACTGTATTTTTCTGGTACTGTCAACCAACTCATTTATGTACTATAGGTTGCGCTGTCTTGCTCCGAACAGGACTATTGGACGATGAATAACCCAATCCAGAGCACCATCATCCTCCTGATTGAGCAGATTGTCCTGGCGCTAGGAGGAGAGTTCAAGCTTTATCTACCAGAGCTCATCCCTCACATGTTACGTGTCTTTATGCATGACAGTAGCCCAGGTCGTGCAGTCACCATTAAGGTAAGCGGGAATGTCCACACTTGTTTGTCCTGGTGTGTTACAAGAGCGTTGTCATGGTGTTAAATTTGTTTCATAATCTTCTTTATATTTAAACACAGTTTCAACTCATGTTGATGCTTGTATCACCTTTGATATATAACGAGTATCTTTGAATGGGTGGAGCGTAGAGATTGTGGTCACTGATTGGAAGAGTCAAAAGGTTACCACAAATAGTCCAAAATGGGACTATTTTTACCAAGTTATGCGTTCTCTTTGTGGTTCATTTACACTTTTTATATTGATGGATGTGGGGATAGAATAAACAAAAAGTTTGTGTCGGGTTTTAATAGGCCCATGTGTGATAAATTGCTCTATACTGCCTGTCTGCTCCTACCTGTGTGTTTGGCAGAGAGAGACAAAAATCCTCTCATCCTCCTCTCCACTCTCATACCTCAGTTTGTAAGTCTTGTAGCCATGGTCTGGTTTGTTTTTGTTTGTTTAACAGTGAAATATTCCCCCTCTCCTATTACACACTTACTGATGACATCAGAGGAAGGTCTGTGAAGAAACACATTAGGGCATTAATCACGTTACAACCCTAAGATGTGCAAAATGCTCAAAAACGTGCAACCGAAAAGATTAGAAATCCCTATGTACACTCATTACTTGGATCAATAATGGATGTATTATTTTCTTTCAGCTGCTGAATGCAATTCAGATGTTTGGAGCAAACCTGGATGATTATCTACATCTCATGCTACCACCAATTGTAAAGCTTTTTGATTCACAAGATTCTCCCATGCAGGCGAGAAAGTAAGTAACTGCCATGTAATAATAATAATATATATATAATGGTAAGGAAGTGAGAGTGTAAATAATCTGATATTAAAAGATATGATGTCCCCAACTGAGTTAACCATTTATTTTGGACAATTTGCTTTTTCAGATGCTAATATAAATAATGGTTTAAGTGGCTCACTCACATGTGCTTTCCCACAATGCTGGTCACGCACGCATGCATGTACAATTTATTCTTTCCTGCCAATAGTGACTCTTACATTGTATTGGTAAAATGTCGTGCTCTGTTACGTTGCACATTCTAACAATGAAATTATAAGAAGACCTAAATCATCATGTTGTCTTGAGTTTAATTCTTGTCCACTATTGAAACTGAATTTGGCAGTTATTTTGTTATGCGGACTCCAGATCAGAGGTGGCTGAGGCACACACTAGCACTCCACACCAATAGACCTTTACAGTCACGCATCCCATACCGAAGACATCCTGCGATTTAAAACGTAAAGTACATTTTAGATATGACTAGCACCTTAGAGTTTGAATATTGAGAGTTGCCTATACAGTTGTATACATGTTTTAACTCATTGTTATAGAGTTTAGATACCTGTAAAAGTACCATAGTGTAGAATCTAAGGGTCTGTTTATCCTTAGAGCCGCATTAGAGACTGTGGATCGTTTGACAGAATCGCTAGATTTCACAGATTATGCGTCCCGTATAATCCATCCTATCGTTCGCACACTGGATTCCAGCCCAGAGCTGAGGCAAACCGGAATGGATACCCTCTCCTCTCTGGTTTTCCAGCTAGGAAAGAAGGTACTGTTCCTTTGTCAGAGTATATTACTATTTTATTTACCGTTCTATTTGATTTTCGATGTGTTTCTCCTTCCATTTAGTGCTGTGCACCCAGTTCTTTAGCACATTTATTTTATCGCAGGCTACATAACGAAAAATAGTTGGCATCGTGTGCTGTGTACACTCTATGAAAAGTTCTTAGAAATGGGTAGAGCTTAAACTATATGTACACTATAAAATGACTGCAAGCAAAAAGAAGAAATGAGAGGCGAGTGCTGTGCTAGAATTTAAAAATCTCACATGGTGGATTTCTGGAGCATGAATAGATCTTGAATATTCTGTTCCCCATTATGTAGCATGTGTGTGTCAGATTTTTTTATTTTTTTTTCCCTTATTGTTTCCTACGTTTGAGCTGCCACAAACTGTTTAGTCAGTCAGTTATTCAGACCTGCACCGTCATATTATGGGAGCTTAACATTTCAGTCCAAAAAACCCAGGTTGAGCTTCCCTCCTCACATGCTACCAGTAGTATTTTTGTATGATCAGTAAATTTAAAATGTTTAATAATAGTGATGCAATTGCAAGATGTTCACATGGTTTTATTTAATGTAAATAATATAATATTTCTCTAAACCATTTAATGTTGATAAGAAAATTTTGGTGTATTTTGTTTGGTTCATCCAACATATACAATATGCTTTATTGTTGCTAGTGCGTGCCTTTTTGTGACAGTATTGGGGGTCATTTGTGCTGCAGTTTTGTCCGAATCCCAGAATGGGTGCATGGGAGACTACAGCAAGTCCATGCTGGTTAGTCTAGGAAGGAGGCATGGTTATCTAGACCCCTGTGAATCATGTCGTCACACCCTGTATATGAAGGGTGTATTTTCACCAAACTGGATAAGGAGGAAGGAAGGCAGATGTCTGTGTCATGGGCTGTGCAAAACTTCTGCCTCCCAGCACCAGTTTACTAGAATTGGACCTCTAGCAGCCAGACACAAATTTTATAAACATCTTAAAATTAAAATCCCTACAGATTAGTTTAAATTTTGGACATTTTTCACTATTCACTTCCAGAGATTTGTTTCCATAAAACCTGGTTATGTGATTAAGGACAGAGAGTGAACTTGAAAAGATTTAGATTATCTTTTTACTTATTTAAGATTCATACAATGTAGTGATGGGGTCATGTGCCATTACTTTTTTACATAGCAAAAAAACATTTATTTTCCCTTCATATATTTAATAATTCCAAATATATTTTAATACATTACTTAACTTTTCGACAAACACAAATAAAATATTCAGATTCTGTATTGTTACCATCCATACGTTCCAGTTCTTCCTTCTGACATTAGATAAAAGCATTACTTAACACACAAAGCATTCCAATTGCCCCTCTTCAAAAAAATATATATATCCTGGAACATGTTGCAGGATGTTATTAAGCATTTTGAGAGACGATATAAGTCAGATTAGATTTGAAAAATTATAGGTTTATAAAAATCAGCTACCATGGCTTCTCTTACCCTAAATACGTTTATGTATACTTTTCCTTCCTAGAGATGATAGTAGACTGCTTTATGAATAAGCTTTTCGCAATGTTTTCATAGACCTAGAGTAGTTTACATGGACTTACTGATTCATTGGGATGCCCACGTTGTGATTAGTTATTTTTTGAGGATGCCCACGTTGTGATTAGTTATTTTTTGAGGATGCCCACATTGTGATTAGTTATTTTTTGGGGATGCCCACATTGTGATTAGTTATTTTTTGGGGATGCCCACATTGTGATTAGTTATTTTTTAGGGATGCCCACATTGTGATTAGTTATATTTTAGGGATGCCCACGTAGTGATTAGTTATTTTTTAGGGATGCCCACATTGTGATTCGTTATTTTTTAGGGATGCCCACATTGTGATTAGTTATTTTTTGGGGATGCCCACATTGTGATTAATTATTTTTTGGGGATGCCCACGTTGTGATTCGTTATTTTTTGGGGATGCCCACGTTGTGATTCGTTATTTTTTAGGGATGCCCACATTGTGATTAGTTATTTTTTGGGGATGCCCACATTGTGATTAGTTATTTTTTGGGGATGCCCATGTTGTGATTCGTTATTTTTGGGGATGCCCACATTGTGATTAGTTATTTTTTGGGGATGCCCACGTTGTGATTCGTTATTTTTGGAGGATGCCTTTCGTTGATTTTTTTGGTGTGTAAAGGAGGCATTCATAGCGACATATTCAAGCTTTGAATTTTGTGGAAATTCTCCTTTCAATAAGTATGCTTGTCTTATTGAAATAAACCTTAATCTAGAAATTCAGACTTTTGGGATGAATGCAAAGGGATTTGAGTTTAACATTTGCTTCTGCATTAGTACCTTTTTAATTAAGGTTTGGTCATTAGTGCTGCAGATATTAACTGCATTTCTTATGATGCCCAGCCATCCTAACGGCTGAGATTTGTAAGCTTGGCATGTCGAAGATTTGTGGGTTGATGCCACTACCCAATCCTCTGCGTACCAATATTGGCCATCGCTAGTTCAGTCTGCAGGAAATATGAATCCGAATTACTAATTTAATAGTTTCTTTTTTTACTATTGTCAGATTACTGCTATTTATGTTTTTGCTTGTATTTACACAGAAGCTCAAAATTTGTAGACTTTTTTTTTTTTTTAATTTTTTTTGTTTGTTTTGTTTTTTTTATTCCTCTAGTATCAGATATTTATTCCAATGGTGAACAAAGTATTGCTGAGACATCGGATAATGCACCAGCGTTATGAGATCCTAACCTGCAGGATACTTAAGGTGAGGGTAGGTTACATTTTCTTTAACTTGAACATTAATAAATTAGCAGCCACTAAGCACTCCTTAAATAGATTGAAATGTGTATCTTTCAAGACTACAAGAGGCACAAAAAAGTACAGCTGTGCATTAAGCACCAATAGTGATGGGGTTGCAATGATAGGTTTGCTTCAGTAGAACATGGTTACAGTATATCATTTTACAGCTTCCATCCAAGCCGTGCACACTATGGTGTTTTAACTAGTTAAAGCAGAGACTCCTCTTACTACCCTCCCATTGTATGGGAAAAGTGTTTTTACTCCCCTTTTCTCCCACGTCATGGTGGCTCCGTGCAGTCTTGATGATCTCAGCCAATCCAATGCTTTCCCATAGGAAAGTATTGGGAGACTATTGCACATGAGCAGCAAAATGTTGCACTCCGCCACTCTGCATCTCCTCATAGAGATGCATTGAATCAAATGCAGAGTATGGAGACGCTATATGGAAGTGCTTTACACTGGGCAGCACTGGACTAGGAAGTACCTCTGGTGGCTGTCTGAGTGACTACCACTAGAGTTGTTACTAGGCAGCAATGTAAACACTGCCTTTTCTCTGAAAAGACAGTGTTTACAGTACTCAACTTGCAGGGACAGGCTATAGACACTAGAACCACTACATTAAGCTGTACTGGTTCTGGTAACTATAGTGTTCCTTTAAGATACCTTAACAAGTTTTTCTACCTTATGTCAGGATCTTACCTGATGGGGAGTCCGGCTCGCAGAGTTATACGCTCACCCTTGCAAAGTAGACACAGACCAGGGTGACCAGGTAAGAAGCCACCTGATCTGTGAGTCTGTGCACGGGGGCTTTCCACGAATAGTGCTCCAAGTAGCAGTACAGCAGGGATTAGCAGAAGCGTAGTCAAGGAAAGCCAAAGTCAGGGGAATCCAGAGATCAGAGTAGTCCAGGAGGAAAGCCAAGGTCAGAAGCCGGAATCAGACAGGAAATACTGGAACGCAGATATAGCAAGACAGGAACCAAACAAGGGAACCAGAGTCAATGAACTGACACTGCCCTCATGGAGAGGCAGTGTCTTATACCTGGCTAATTGGTGATCAGCCACAGGTGTGCTGAGATCGTTGGAGCAGCCACAGAATAACGTCCAGCCCCCAGTGCTGGGTACAAGGCAAGATAGACTTCTGGATATCTCTCGAGCTGAGATGGTGGCTCAGAGGCAAAATAGCAGCCCCAGGACTGCAAAGTACCCTGGTTCAAGTCCGTCACCGGGCACTTCTGGGGCGACCTCGTCTGGCCATCGGGATGTCGCGGTGAGAACCGTGACACCTTATCTCCAGTTCATCTGCAACACACAGATTTGACTGCACAACATTCACCTTCTGCGATGTACAAGAGCATCACAAAGTATAGTAGTGCTGTAGAGACTGTACAGTGATATATTTTATTCCTAACTTTCAGGGTTACACCCTTGCTGACGATGAAGAAGATCCCTTGATTTATCAGCACCGATTGCTAAGAGGGAATCTCGGTGATAGTTTTGCTGGAGCATTAGATACTGGACCAATGAAGAAGCTGCATGTCAGCACTACCAACTTGCAAAAGGTATGAAAGGCAGCTATATATGTGGTCCACTGTCACAGATACCTGTCCCTGAGTGTCATGTGAAAGGACAGGTATCTCAGCTGTGTGAGCAATATTTGGGAGGTGAGCTGAATTCAGAGGCGGTCTCAAATACAAATTATGAGGATCACACAAAGAGTAGATTGACAGGAAAAAGGGAGAAATATATGATTAGTATAATTTATGTCAGTGTGTCAACTTTAAAAATCTGTATGCAATGAGCTAACAGAAATTTTATTTAGAATGAAATTAGTGTTAGAAGTGTCCACTAGAGGGCATACTTTGCTTAAAGTGACATTCCAGGCACCAGAAGTGCAAAAACTACTTTTTGCAGGATGTATAGTTATTATTTATAAAGTGCCAACAAGTTCCATACAATGGGTGGGCTAACAGACACGTATTTATAACCAGACGAGTTGGACACACAGGAACAAAGGGATTGAGGGCCCTGCTCAGTGAGGTTACATGCTAGAGGGAGTGGGGTATAGTGACAGTAACAGAGGGATTGAGGGCCCTGCTCAGTGAGTTTACATGTTAGAGGGAGTGGGGTATAGTGACACAGTAACAGAGGGATTGAGGGCCTGCTCAGTGAGTTTACATGTTAGAGGGAGTGGGGTATGACACATTAACAGAGGGATTGAGGGCCTGCTCAGTGAGTTTACATGTTAGAGGGAGTGGGGTATAGTGACACAGTAACAGAGGGATTGAGGGCCCGGCTCAGTGAGTTTACATGTTAGAGGGAGTGGGTTATAGTGACACAGTAACAGAGGGATTGAGGGCCTGCTCAGTGGAGTTTACATGTTAGAGGGAGTGGGTTATAGTGACACAGTAACAGAGGGATTGAGGGCCTGCTCAGTGAGTTTGCATGTTAGAGGGAGTGGGGTATAGTGACACAGTAACAAAGGGATTGAGGTCCTGCTCAGTGAGTTTACATGTTAGAAGGAGTGAGGTATAGTGACTCAGTAACAGAGGGATTGAGGGCCTGCTCAGTGAGTTTACATGCTAGAGGGAGTGGGGTATAGTGACACAGTAACAGAGGGATTAGGGCCTGCTCAGTGAGTTTACATGTTAGAGGGAGTGGGATACAGTGACACAGTAACAGAGGGATTGAGGGCCTGCTCAGTGAGTTTACATGTTAGAGGGAGTGGGATATAGTGACAGTAACAGAGGGATTGAGGCCCTGCTCAGTAGGAACACATGCCTGCTAGAGGTGGGGTGTGACACAGTAACAGGATGAGGCCTGCTCAGTGGTTTACATGCTAGAGAGTGGGTATATTTACAGTAACAGAGGATTGGGGGCCCTGCTCAGTGAGTTTACATGTTAGAGGGAGTGGGGTATAGTGACACAGTAACAGAGGGATTGAGGGCCTGCTCAGTGGGTTTACATGTTAGAGGGAGTGGGGTATAGTGACACAGTAACAGAGGGATTGAGGGCCCGCTCAGTGAGTTTACATGTTAGAGGGAGTGGGGTATGTAGTACACAGTAACAGAGGGATTGAGGGACCTGCTCAGTGAGTTTACATGTTAGAGGGAGTAGGGTATAGTGACACAGTAACAGAGGGATTGAGGCCCTGCTCAGTGAGTTTACATGTTAGAGGGAGTGGGGTATAGTGAGACAGTAACAGAGGGATTGAGGGCCTGCTCAGTGAGTTTACATGTTAGAGGGAGTGGGGTATAGTGACACAGTAACAGAGGGATTGAGGGTCCTGCTCAGTGAGTTTACATGTTAGAGGGAGTGGGGTATAGTGACACAGTAACAGAGGGATTGAGGGCCTGCTCAGTGAGTTTACATGTTAGAGGGAGTGGGGTATAGTGACACAGTAACAGAGGGATTGAGGGCCCTGCTCAGTGAGTTTACATGTTAGAGGGTGGGTAGTGACACAGTAACAGAGGGATTGAGGGTGACCAGTAAGTGAGTTTACATGTTAGGAGTGGGGTATAGACACGGCAACAGAGGGATTGAGGGCCTGCTCAGTGAGTTTACATGTTAGACAGGGAGTTGGGGGCCTGCTCAGTGAGTTTATGTTAGAGGGAGTGGGGTATAGTGACACAGTAACAGAGGGATTGAGGCCCTGCTCAGTGAGTTTACATGTTAAGAGGGAGTGGGGTATAGTGACAGTAACAGAGGGATTGAGGGCCTGCTCAGTGAGTTTACATGTTAGAGGGAGCGGGGTATAGTGACAGTAACAGAGGGATTGAGGCCCTGCTCAGTGAGTTTACATTTTAGAGGGAGTGGGGTATAGTGACACAGTAACAGAGGGATTGAGGGCCTGCTCAGTGAGTTTACATGTTAGAGGGAGTGGGGTATAGTGACACAGTAACAGAGGGATTGAGGGCCCTGCTCAGTAAGTTTACATGTTAGAGGGAGTGGGGTATAGTGACACAGTAACAGAGGGATTGAGGGCCCTGCTCAGTGAGTTTACATGTTAGAGGGAGTGGGGTATAGTGACACAGTAACAGAGGGATTGAGGGCCTGCTCAGTGAGGTTACATGTTAGAGGGAGTGGGGTATAGTGACAGTAACAGAGGGATTGAGGACCTGCTCAGTGAGTTTACATGTTAGAGGGAGTGGGGTATAGTGACACGTAAGGGTAGGGTAGAGAAGTAGGTTGCTAGGATAGTATTCATTGAGGGCTTATAGCTTTGTTTTGATAGTTTCAGGAAAGGTATCGGTGCGGAGAGGGAAAGCTGTTCAGTTAATTGAAATGCTTTCCTAAAGAAATAAGCTTTCAAAGATTTTTTTTGAAGGAGTGGAGATTGGGTGAAAGTCTAACCAAGAGTAAGGGGCGTTTCCTAGGAACGGTGCAGCTCTAGAGAAGTCTTTAAGGTGAGCATCAGAGTTAGGGGTACAAACAGAGGTTAGACATAGGTCTCTGGCAGGGCGTAGGGTCCTAGATGGGACATATCTGTGTATTAGTGAGTATAAGTAGGTAAAGGCAGCATTGTGTAGAGATTTGTAAGCAAGTATCGGGATCTTAAATTAAGACCTGTATCTTATGGGAAGCCAATATAAGGTTGAAAACTCCTTGCAACCACCACAACTAGGACCTTACCCCCACTCTGTCTCCAGATACCTAGCGGGAAACACACTGCTCAAAATTTCCCCTAGACCTCTTTCCAGTATTATATAATAACACATATTCGTATTTAAAATGAGAAATCGAGAGTGCATCTGTGACAACGTACACCATCAGCTTCATTCTGTAAACTGAGTGAACCGGAAGTAGTGCCAGGATATTAACCATTTCATGGATGACGATGTGGGGTGCTGGAGAAAAAGTAGATTCCAGGATTTGCTGCAAATAATGAAAGCTTCAGGGAATCGGTATATTATGGTTTTATTTTTCTATCTGGATTTCTTTTTAATGGTTTATATCTATAATGCTTAAACAATACATGGCAAGTTCACTTTGAAGTGTCCATTGATCTATGACTTGACCTTTATGAAAAGAATAACTGTGTGTATATGCAGCAGTATAAAACAAAGGCATCAAATATAAGGAATAGACAAAAGGTGTGAGGATTTCTTAGGTGGAATTTGAGCAAGTTGCAGTTACTTCCTCTCCAGCACGGATAATACCTAGGCCAGCCAGGTGCAAAAACCCTAACGTGCATAAAACCAGGTCTTTCTAACACAATTCTTTTAACTGACAGGCTTGGGGAGCTGCTCGGCGAGTCTCCAAAGATGATTGGTTGGAATGGCTGCGACGGCTGAGTGTAGAGCTCCTGAAAGACTCCTCATCTCCTTCTCTACGTTCTTGCTGGTCTTTGGCCCAGGCGTATAACCCGCTCGCCAGGTGTGTTGTGGCTTATGCTTGGTTCTACATGAACGGTTTTTTTTTTAATTTCTTTTATTACTACTAATTTCCCATCTTCTGCAGAGATTTGTTTAATGCAGCCTTTCTGTCCTGTTGGTCGGAGCTTAATGAAGATCAGCAAGATGAGCTGATCCGGAGTATTGAGCTGGCTCTCACTGCCCAAGACATTGCGGAAGTCACACAAACATTGCTGAACCTGGCGGAATTCATGGAGCACAGTGACAAGGTGTGTACTCGTAGATTATACCCTGCTTGGCATCTCAATGGTTTCTTTTGGCTCACTCCTGAATTGCTAATTTTGTGAAGACCATTTAAAAATTATCTATTGCTCTTTGGATTTAAATAGAACACGAACTGCAATATTTCAATGTACGTTAGTTTATATCAATTGCACATTAGGGATATGCATGTTAATGTGATAACATTTGCCTATTTTGCCTTTTTATGCGTTCTGGAAATATGAGGGTTATAGCATGGAGTTGGGAGGCCAAAGGTCACTGACCATGATTCCAGCTGTAGATAAATCTGTGTCCTGGAATTGCCGTTTATATCCAGACAGTACTGATCCTTTACACCTAAGGAGAGGATTTGTCTGATCCTGAGATACTTTGGGGTGATTTTCTCAGATACTGAAATAACATGATGTTTCTTCGACCAGTGCATGTTTATCTTGGTTATCGATAACGATCTCTGCCAGCAGCAGTTTCTCAGTATGTTGATCTTCCTCAAGATCAATGGCCATGCTTTGATTGCTGTCATGTACCCTGTCATCGCACATTGTAGGGCCATAACGTTCATTTTATATGATTTGTGGCTCTTATCTTTATCAGGGTCCTTTGCCTCTTCGAGATGACAATGGGGTTGTGCTTCTTGGAGAAAGAGCAGCAAAGTGTCGAGCCTATGCAAAGGCTCTTCATTACAAGGAACTGGAATTTCAGAAAGGTCCAACTCCAGCTATTCTGGAATCCCTCATCAGGTAAGGCCATTCGTGTTGTTAGGATGTTTTTGGAGAGGGTGACTGTGCATATTTCTGTGGCCTCTTTTGGAGGTTTGAGGAGAAGTGATATATTTGTATCTCTGTCAGTGTGTGGTCTGCGACCTTTGACACCTCACATTCCACACCACCTTACTTTTAGGCCTTGAAACTGTCAGCTGTCATTTGCCTGAATTACACGGTGCTTCAGGGCAGCCTGCTGTGGCCTATGGAAATATTTTGTGCAATTGATTGTAAATTTTCTAAGGCCATATATACTTTATTTTTTCCTTCTCCCCTCTCCCTTCTTATTACAGCTTCCCTCCTGGTATGCTTTGTTACTTTTTAAATAACTCCTCCCTTCCCCTCCTGTGTCCCTCACCCTCAATTGTCTCTGTGTCTCAAAGACACCCTCAGTTGTCCCCCTCTCCCTTGCACAGACCCATATCTCCCCCTATTCGTTTTCTCCCCTATTTGTTATACTTTCTCCTTCTTTTCCTTTTTTTTTTTAATGCTCCCTATGTTGCTTTTTACCATTTATCGCTCTGTATTTTATTTTGTATGAATGTGTGCAGATTGAAGGACTGAGAATTGAGGATACCTTGTTCAGTCTATACATTTACCCAGAAAATACCCATTAGTGACTTTATGCACTATTCATAGAACTCCCGTTCACATTAAACAAACAACTCCATAAATATTTTACAAAAAAAAGTTTATTTTTGGCCATCAGGCCACAATACGTTATGTTCTTTCCAATTATTTTTTTGAAAGAAATAAAAATAGACTTTACAGTATTCTAAAGCAATCACATCGCAAGGAATGTTCTATATACACATCTTTACATGGGGTGGCAAGTTTATAGAATAACACCCTACTAGATTGTGATGGGACATAGATATGCCTCCTAGTGGTTGTCATGGGTATCATTTCACTTTTATTCTTTAAAGGGACACTATAGTCACCTGAACAACTTAATGAAGCAGTTTTGGTGTATAGAACATGCCCCTGCAGCCTCACTGCTCAATCATCTGACATTTAGGAGTTAAATCCCTTTGTTTATGAACCCTAGTCACACCTCCCTGCATGTGACTTGCACAGCCTTCCATAAACACTTCCTGTAAAGAGAGCCCTATCTAGGCTTTCTTTATTGCAAGTTCTGTTTAATTAAGATTTTCTTATCCCCTGCTATGTTAATAGCTTGCTAGACCCTGCAAGAGCCTCCTGTATGTGATTAAAGTTCAATTTAGAGATTGAGATACAATTATTTAAGGTAAATTACATCTGTTTGAAAGTGAAACCAGTTTTTTTTTCATGCAGGCTCTGTCAATCATAGCCAGGGGAGGTGTGGCTAGGGCTGCATAAATAGAAACAAAGTGATTTAACTCCTAAATGACAGTGCATTGAGCAGTGAAATTGCAGGGGAATGATCTATACACTAAAACTGCTTTATTTAGCTAAAGTAATTTAGGTGACTATAGTGTTCCTTTCAATATCTCTTTTCCCCTGGGGCTGAGATTCCCAGAGATGGTCTTGGTTCAGTGTTTAAGAGCTGTGTACTGAGGGGTGAAATAAACTCTTTGAAGGACATTAAGCATTTCTGTCACTGTCATCAGGAGACCTAACTCATCACACACACATCTCTTTATTGCAAGAGGAGCTTATTTTGCATCACTAGCTGCTGTCGCCATATCTCAGGATGGTCGATTCCTCATCTCACCATCCATTTAGCTCATTACATACACAGTGCAGGTGAATTCTACAAGAAAGAAAAGGAATTAAATGCGCCGGGGAAGGAATAGGCGCTGCTTTGGTTGAGGTCATTGGCTGCTTTACACATATAATTGTCATGGTTTATCCCTCAGGGCTGGAAGTCTTGCGAGCGTATCTTCATTTCCACTCTCTTTAAAGAGTAGGAAGATCCGTGCCACCCATACCAGCTAATCCCATCCGGGTGCTTGCTGTGATCTCCATTGCGGTAGTAGATGCCATTAAGATTAGAGTCAGTGCAGCAGTTATACCAATATCCACCTGCCAAGAGACATTGTTATCTATTAGTACTGATTCCATTTTTTTTTCAGTTGTAGAATAAGATATTGTGCAGAGAATCCCCCCATAATGCATAATTTGTCTAACCCAGGAATTGATAGAATGTATAAAGTGTATCATATAGAGCATTATGCTATGGCTATCGTGATACTTTATAACTTATCTAACACAGCAGTGGATAATAGTGTGGACAAAAAGTTATGAGTGTATCTGAGCATTGTATAGGGAATGCCTCTCCCACGATACAGTTTAACCTGTAGATCAGATAAATCACGTTTTGTTTCCACTTTTAGCTTGTGATGCTTTTTCATAATCTGTCACTTTTGGTTTTACCTTTACGCAGTCCTGCGCAGTCATCCAGGCACTTGTCATTATCTTTGTCCTTGGTGCTGAATGAGGTGTTGTTATGGTAGCGAAGGGAGTCTCGGCCGGCATTGCCGCTGTAATTCCCCAAGAAGAGACGATAGCTGTTTTGCGCGTTACTGATTGAAAATTGGTCGTATTCTGCGTATCGGACACGTCCTTCCCAGTCCTACAGAGAGACAAAATGATAGACACGGTTATGGATCTGTGAAAAACAATGATATATGCGGTTTTATATTTTAAGTGCTGAGAATTTCAATTGAATTGAACATTTTAGACCAAAGTATGCAAGGTGAAAATATCGCTAATACCTCTTAATTTACTTCCCTCTTTACCTACCCTACTTAAATTAAGAATTAGAAGCACCATTGAGGAAATAGCTTATTGTATTCCGTGACCAGAATGGAAAACTAGGCAGGGTTGTGAATTCTCCTGCTTTGGCTAAATTGGCTTAAAATTAGCATTGTTCTTGTCAGTTCTCCACAATCTCTGGTTTAGTAAATAAATCAAACAGTGAACTAGAAACCAAATTCCAAAATATAGGGTTTGACCAACATTTTGTATGAGTTGAATTGGGGGGTTTCAAATAATTCTGCACCTAAATTTTGGAATTTAATTTAATTCACCACAGTTGACTGTATGATGAATGAACGTAGCACATACATTTATGTAAGACCTGCAGACATTTAAATAGTCTCCTTGTAATATAATGGAGATTAAGGTTTATATTGAGTGCATCCTCACCTCTAACTCAACTCTCAGAATAGTTGGCCTCCTTGTTAGGCGAAAGATATGCTCATTTCCGAGCCAAAAGTCGCCACGGATGTTGCCGAATCCATCACGATACTGCTTCCAGTCACGGTTAAAGGAGGTCAGGCCGACCTTTCGTCTCTGTATTAGTGTCCAGCCTCCACCTTGCGTCTCCATGTCACAGAACACCTTCGTGGTCAACAAAAACAATGTTAAAGGGCTGCCTTCGTCTGAGGAGTGAAGGAAGATGTCTTATTGCTCATTATATCTTACCTCAAGCTCTGAACTTCCCAAGAAATCATCTGCTGGAAGTTTGTAGACACCAGAGATCTTGTAATTCTTCTGGAAAAGTGAAGAGCAGTCATATACTGCATCTGTTAAAAGGACGGTTATGTTAAGATCATGAGTAGATGCCTAGCCCTATTCTATCTAGCTAACAACATTACAGGCTGGTCTCCATATTTTGTGAAAAGACCAAGAATCTCATACATTCTCTCTGCAAATATTTGCTTTCGGTACTAACTATTAACCTAATTTATTGAAATCAGAGCAGCATGTTCATCATTTACTGATCTGAGTTCCATCTCTACCGGTATCATGCGTTTATACACATCTATGAGTGATAACCAAAATGTTCTTGGATTTCATTGATACATTTTTATTTTATTTTAGCAATTTTGTTTGTGTTTTCTATATTTCCTAATTGCCCTAGGGGATAGCCCATCTGAGTTTTGGTTTAAAGTTTTCTGACACTAATCCTGTGCGAGGGAGGGGGCTTCTTTATTTCTTCAGTGTGTAATTGTGACATGTTTAGCCCTGGAATTGTATTAACCCAGCGCACGACAAGTCAGAGCTGGAAGAGACTTCTCTGACCGATTGCTGATTTTTATGCTTTTGAAGTTGAGTGGCATGCAAAAAAGAAAATGAATTTTAACTGTCTGTATGCGTGTATGTGTACAAAGTTAGTTGGTGCTCTCGGCTTGATTTCTGTCTGTGATGCTGTAACAGGGTGTCTCTTACCTGCCGAGGTTTGTGTTAAGGTCTGCGCCGCTTGTAGTTGCATGATGTCCATTTGGTTGTTCATCTCTGAGTACTTTCCTTCCACGTCTGTCACTCTCGTCTCCATTTGCTTGTGGCTTCCTTCCAGCTTCATCACCTGCATGACCACGTTCACCCAGTCGTTCTCTTGCTTCTTGGTCAGCTCTGCCAGGAGGCTGGTGAGGTTGGCAATCTGCACTTTCAAGTCTTTCACCTCTTCACAACAACCAGGTGCCTTCAACAGTCCGTTGGCACCAATAATCTTCTTCTTCGGAGCCTTCTGCGTCAGGGCAGGGCAAGCTCCAAGGCAGAATATAAAAATACTGGTCAATGCAAAATAATTAAAATTCATCTTGCTTATCTATAAGTGTGCGCTGGAATACCGTTCCAGTGAAGGATACTGATAAGTCGTTTGACTTCTTATCGAGGGGGGAAAAAATAGTTTTCCTTCTGCTGCTGGAGTCTGAGGAAGGAGACTTTTTCTTCCTTACTTTCTCAGTTTGTCTTTATTCTGTGATCTGCACTATAAGATTTCACAGCATCTTAAATATCCCATCTCCTGGAGCCTTCCCTATTGCCCTCCCATCCATTCCCCTCCTCCCCTTTACCAGGTGCCAGCCTGCTTGCTGGAAGCCTCCAGTTGAACCTAAGCTGGGGGGGTGCGGTTTGGCCCCGCAACATGTCTCTGTCCCAGTAGCATAATCGTTCACCAGCATACATTCACCATTAACCCTTTGCAAGGGGTTTGCAGGAATGTGGAGCAGCTGTAGTGAAGACTTCGTATGTGCTCAGAGCAAACTGGAAAGGGAGCATATTATCTTTCAGGTGACATAATCCACAAACAGCCTGTCTGGTTTTCTGCTGAAGTCCCTTTATGCTTCCGACATCTGGAAGTCTTTTGACGTTTGTCTTTTCTCACCAGACAAAAACTTAGAGCCGTGATTGGAGGCTATTTTCCTTAGTAAATGGTGTGGAAACATACAAGCATTCGTTAGGTTTGTATATCTCATGCCTCATATAACACATTTGTGAGTTTCACATCTGAAGCTGCTGTGATTTTAGGCCATTGGAATATTTTGTGCCTATCACAGAAATTTTTTTTTAAAAATCCAAAGGCGAGCCAGAGAATGAGCCACTTATTGACATGTCTGTTCATGGCATCTGGCTTACACACATACTACTGGTACTGGCAGTAATACCACCACAGACTGACCGTGACACCACGCCTAGCAGGAACATAAGTCCCTTGAGCCACTTCTTATTCAGAAAGCCAAAAAAACAGTCCCCTCATCCCATAAGAATGTGAGCAAACAGAAGGAAGAAATTCTTGTACGCACAGTGCAGCAAGAAAGGAAAAAGCAAAATTCAGTAGCCAAAGATTTGCCTTAAAACAAATTATATTTGTTTAATAATATAAAGTGTGCTCTTTTTATTGTTAAAAAGTATTCATTCTGTCTCTCGTGAGATTGGATGGCATGTGAATTAACTTTTTGAACACTGCCATTGGAAACTGAAGTTTTGAGTGCTTCTTCTAAATGCTGCTTATAAAACAATGTGGTTTCTGAATCTGGGTACTTTAACCCCATGTGTGACATGTCATGATTCCAAGCATTTCGGGAGGTTACATAAGAGAGTAATTAGGGCTAAATGCTTCCATTATGTAACCACCTACTTTAGACACTTTCTAACTGCACACGCACAGTGTGAGGTGTTCTTCTGTTTAAAACGTTTATTGGTTTTTAATTCACTTTGGGACATTCCATTCTGTACTTTCAAAAATAACCTCCCGTGTCATAGAGGCCCACATGCTTTAAAGAAAGAAAACTAGAAATTCTAACCTGTGGCATAAACTGTTGGATACAATTACATTATTTAGAACTCCTGTTTTTTTCATGTCTAGCATGATAGATTATCTCTGGCTTGACATCTATTGGGGACTGCATTTCCTATGACTCTCAGCCACCTAAATGGCTGTTTGGAAATGCTCAAAATACACACAGTCCTCAACAGCCACTTGTCAAATGTTTGCTTGGCCCAAATCCGCTATCTTTCCCCATCCAAACACCCCTTTTTTCCCCTCCTTCTTAATTCTCCTGTTCAGTTTACCTTCTTGCCTTTATTCCTTAACTTGGACAATATTGGGAAATAATAGCGGGTCATAAGGAGTTTCTAGCTTATGCAGTTAAGTACCTGGCAACGGTTCCGTTTGTTAGAAAAGATGACTGAGGCTGCCCTAGATAACAGCTGCTTCACAGCATGAAAAATGACTTTTAATCATACTAATGCACAGAATTAAGAGTACCAGAGATTATAACCGATCCTGTTTTGCAATTTGAAGATGCAGTCATTTTAATATCCAAACAAATATATCCAGTAATTGCTGTGTGTTGTGTTAGAGACACACTATATGCATCTCATTGAAGTGTTCTGGCTGCAGTGTCTTTGTCCCCTTAGCCCTGCAATGTAAAACATTGTCTTTCTACTTCCTGTATTTACATGGAGATTAACACTTTACATGCGGACGCCCAACATTTTCAAAATCCCCATAGGAAACCATTGGTTTACCACAAAACAGATGAGACAAACAGTTGTTGAATATACTTCTGCTTGGCGATTTAGAATTCCATCTTTGGCGCCCCCAAAAAAGAGATGACTTGATGGTAAAATGACAGGATGAAATAAATCATATCAATAAATAATAAAGAAATAAATATAGTAAAATCTTAGTTGTATTCAAGCCTGAAGCTGTAACTCTGACTAAGAGGCAGATCAGGGGCAGAGCCAGCACGATTCAAACACAGCCCTGGCCAATCAGCATCTCCTCATAGAGATGAATTGAATCAATGAATCTCTGAGGAAAGTTCAATGTCTGCATGCAGAGGGAGGAGATACTGAATGTTTGGATGCATTTTAGGTAGCCATGACCCAGGAAGGATCTCGAACAGCCATCTGAGGACTGGTCAGTGAAATTATCACTAGGCTGTAATGTAAACACTGTATTTTCTCTGAAAAGACAGTGTTTACAGCAAAAAGCCTGAAGGTAATGATTCTACTCACCAGAACAAATTCAATAAGCTGTAGTTGTTCTGGTGACTATAGTGTCCCTTTAAAATATGGAAAGGCAGAGGTAACAAAATAAGTCCAGTTCAAAGCTGTAAATGTGTAAAAATATGAGCTATGAAAAAAAGTATGTATACAATAAAATAGTTGTTGTAAGAGGTGTAAAAATTTGAAGAGTTTACTGTGAAAAAATGGGGTTGAACAATATGGTTGAGGGGACGCAAATGTAGGATAAAAATATAAAGGTAAAATTATAAATAATAACGATAAAGAATAGAAAAAATGACAGAAAAAAAGCCCAAAAAGTGGCAATAGGAGCCCGACCTCCATATACGGGGTGTAGAAAAAAAAATGACACAAAGTTACAATGGGAGTCCGACCTGAGTATATTTTTTTATATTATTTTTAATTTTACTTTTATATTTTTATCCTACTTCTGCAATTTTTTCAATTTTACATTTGCATCAACCATATTGTTCAACACCATTATTTTTTCCAGTAAACTCTTCAATTTTTGCACCTCTTACAACAACTATTTTTAGTGTATATATACTTTTTCATTCCTTTTCTTTATCTCCTATTTTTGCACATTTAGAGTTTTGAACTGGACTTATTTTTTTTACCTCTCCCTTTCCATATTTTGGGAGCCCCATAAGAGTGTGCACGCTCAGACCCTATTCACAATGGTACCAGCAATAATTTGTTTTTCTAAATATGTTTTATTAATTCCCTTCAATATTGTGTTTATTTTATGATCCAATAAGACTCAATAAATTCTTAAATTATCTAGTTCTTCTATTTTTGTATATGTATATCACATTTGCGCTTACTTTTTCAACTTGTTATATATTTTATAGAGGGAGATAAGGATACTGTGTAACACACATACATCTCACTCTAACTATACTCAAAACACATTAATAGCGGTAAGTTCAAAACCCAAAATAAACATGAAATTGCCAGTTAGAGCATTATATTTGTTGCACAGTTTCCCAATATTCTTTGGAGTTCTACACTCCTCAATTACTATATCAACTGATCAAATGTGGACGAAATTTGAAAGGTAAAATATAATTTTATTAAATCGGAATTAGCATATTTAAAAGGGGAAACATATGAGCCTGTCTCTGTACTTAAATAATGTATATATTTTGCAATACTGTGATAGGTCAATTTTTTTCTCCTCTTTTACTTCGTCTGAGTAGGTTCTCCCCAGTTCGTTTGAATGGACGATATTCAGACAAGCCGAACTGCTTGACACAATTCGGTCAATAAGATATATATTTATTTTAAATTTTCTTGGTCGAACCGAATTGTAGGCCATGCACACGTCTTGCCTCGTAGCATTTAATAAGTGTGGTCATTGTTTTCGCATTTTGTGCTTCATTTGCTTTGGTTCCGTTTATGTTATATCTATTGTTGGACTACCACATGCGTTTACAGCAGCTTTAGATTTTTATTTTATTTTATATCTCTGCTAGCGCCGCTGTTTCACACTTGCTCGGTTAATCTGTGGTTTGCGTGCAGGACTTTCTGTTCATTACATGCACATGTTTACACACGTTACATGGCAGAGTCCCTAATATTTCTAGACACTAAATACCAAGGTTAAAAAAATGTTTTCTCACGCTAGGTCAGGATACCGACTTCAGACATCTTATTTTAGATTCCAGGTACGCTAATCACTTCACCCTGCCAAATACCTTTTCAAAAAGTCGGTATATATAAAATATGAGATCAAAGGGAAGTGGGTCTGTCTTTTAAAGAGATGTTAAAGTGGGAATGCGATAGTAAAATGAGTCCCGCCAGAAAACATGTGTAAGCATCACGTTAAAATACCAGATCTGAGTCCATATGCAAATTTACGCTTGGAAATATGCAGCATATGCCATTGGTGTGTGATGTTATTAACCCTTAACTGTAAAGACACAAAGATATGTGAGTCAAACGTGATATAGGCAGTTACACCGTCAGTCTTATTTCCACTCACCTTGTGTGCCCAAGAATTGGGGTTGGTAAAGTATCTAAGCACAAGAGCTCACAGTCAGAACAATATGAAGAAAATGCTTTATATACTTTTCTTGTCTCCCCTTTATACTTTTATAAAAAATATTTTCTGCGGGTGATTTAAATGTTGCCATCACCGCAGTCTGTTCTGTCATTCAGATCTGTCTGGTGTTTGTCTACTTGAGCCACAGAAGCGTTTCGGTGTAATGGAGTACATTGTCTGGCTGTTCTGGGTTAGCAAAATCCACAGGTTCCCACACACTGGGATTCTCCACCGGTTTTGTTTTATGGCAACCATTGTGTGTTGTAGTGAAAAACCGCATTGCCAAATTGTTCACTATACCAATAATTATATGTAGACACAACTGACATTTTCACTCTTGTTTGACCCTTTTAGTAGCAATGAATGGCTATAGCTCTCAGCCAGTAATGCTGCCTGGTGACCCTCTTAGTCTGTAACTAGTGACAAGGCAATGCTAGAAAATGAAACCTGTTATATTGTGGATGATGGCAGCTGCCATCCTAGCCCCAACTGCAAGCTTGCAACACAAATGAGTAGCCTTTGGCACTGTAGCTAGGGGCTATTTTCTCTACGCAGGTGGGTATCATGTTCAGTAACAGCTGTAGTGTTAAATGTTAGATACCCCTGTTGTAGCCATAGGTGATGGAGCATGTTACATGTTTACAGAACTCCCTCCTCCCCCTCCCAAAATAATAGTCAAGGACTAGGTTTTAGTAGAGTTCTTGGTGGAATTTCACCAGTGTCGCCCTTTCACCCTCTTGTTCTCATGTGAAATTAGTGAACTTACCAGTAAAGTCCATTGTGTGAGTTTATGTAACGTTGGCATGTGGAGGAGATTAAAAGTTGCTGGAATGGTGTTGCGTTAGGGTGGGCTCAAGGGGAGGGAGCGAGGGTCTTTTCCTCCTTGTACTTTTATTCTTTCATGTTTCTTTGAGGTTCTCATGGAGGTCTCCTAGGCCCGATTTAGCGGCTAGTCACACAGACCTCCTATTGTATTCAGACCAGTGCTTTATAACTTCAGCTGTCCAGAGGACAAAGCTGTGAAAGTTGACAAGAGGCAGTAGAGTGGCCAGCTTGCCATATACAGACAGCATGTCTGGACTGCAGATGTGCAAGAAGCTGTCAGCGAGACTCTCCAGAGAAGGAAATCTACTGTTTGACTTTAGCCACACAACTCACGTACTATCAGCAAACATAACCCGTGACATTGCTGCTTCTTTCACTCCGGTGTCACACTGCTTATCCAAATCATGATTGATGGCATCGGTTTGCTTTACGTGAGTGACTGCTTAGTGTATAAGGAAGCCGCATACAGTGTGAATAGTTTACATAGAGGTACAGCACTTAGTGTCCGTGATTATAAAAATAGGCCCCGTGCCAAGCTGTACAAATAATTAAACTGTCTCTCTTCCAAATCGCTGAGTGAGAGCTGACATAACAACATACAACCGTTATCCTGAGGAAAAAAATACCATCTGGCTGGACCAATCACTTGGTTCTCTAAGATGTTCCTAACCATTTCTGTTTCAATTAAATAATCATTTATTATGTGTATAATATTGGTTTTATTTCTTGAACTGAGTAAATAGAAAACTCTTCACCAGCAGACGATATTTGTTTCCGATAGTTAAAAAGTAATCCGGTATATGGTAGAATTAGGATTCTTACTAAAGAATTTACAGTATTTCTGTGATTTGGAATATGTCTATATTTTACTTTTACTGCCTGAGGATGTCCGCACTTTATATTGCATTGAAGCTGACATCAATTTATCCTCATCTGTTGGGGCTGGGATCCATTGAGTTTTTATTTCATTTCCCCCTTTCCAAAGACTTCTTTATTCTTTTGAAATATAACCAACAAGCCGTGTAACAGCAGTTCCCAACATGGGACTGAAGTCCGTTGTGGTGCTCTACGGCTGTGGTCTCTCCAGCCCCTGCAGTAAGCACTGTGCAGGAGCAAGCTGTCTCTGCATTTCTGGTAGCAGAGGCAGTGTTCTGCTGCTTACAGTCCCCCATTCAGTTTGCGCTGGCATACAGGTATAACCTCAAATCCTGTCTAAGTAATTTAGGGTCGTTCCTTACCCTTGACATCAGGGCCGGTCACCCTTCCATTACAGAAACAGAAGCAATTTGCAGGGGGATTGAACATAACGAACACACATTTAAAAAAAACCATGGGGTGAAGGGAAAGCGATGAGCATAATAGGGGGGCATAGTGGGAATGCTATGGGTTAGAGGGAAGAAAGCATGATAGGTGTGAGGCTGGCAGACACTGAATAGGTGGTGTTGAAGAATGAGAGAACATTAATAGCATTACAGTAGGCAATGGGAGGGGAAGTGTAAAAGCAGCAGAACAAGATGTAAAGCTCAAAGAACTGATCTGACTAATTAAAGGGGACCTGGAGTCTGAGATTAAGTGAGAGGAATAATACTGATCCCAAGGCACAAAGTTTACACATTTAAAAAAAAAAAAAAGCTTTTTCATGCATTGAAAGTACAACAAAGAGAAAGTGCATAACCAATTCATAGTACCAATACCACAATAATAATAAAGTGCTAAATGCAAACACCCATTAAAAAGGTATACTGACTAAGAGCAGGAGAAATGAAAAACTGCATTGAACAAAATAAAACCCGGTACCTGGCACAGAGTGTTAAAATGTGGGGAATGAGGCAGAGACCCGGGGCTCGGGGTACACAAAGGGAATTAATGCAAAGACTCAGCAGACGGAGGGTGCTTATGATGAAAAAAAATTGGTACAGAAAATAAGAGACCCTTAGGTAGCATTAACACTCTTATATGACAGTTTTATTTATTTTATATATAAACAAATTTCAGACCCTTTAGATGTATGAATAGCTGTAACGTTACACTGGATCTGCTAATGAATGGATACTAAACATCTTGCATCAATAAAACACATAACAGGCCAGTTATGTTAGTTATACACGCATGTAACTGTCTCTTAGCGTGCTGTTTTATTTAAAAAATAAAACTTTTCTATAAAAGAATTACTGCATTTGAAGAACTGAATACATTATCTGAAGATGGGGCGTTCAGAGCTGCATATTTGAGGGTTTCATATTTTAAAACAGATTTTATCTAAAAGCAGAGAACGAAGTGTGCTTTTAATGTTACTCTAATTGGAAATGGCTGTGCTCATGGGGTCTTCTTTTTCTTTTCATAACCCCCAAACTTTACACTCATCAGGATGGTTTATTTAAACTGAAATCAATTAGTCCCCCTGGAATATTCATGATACACTACAAAGGCATATTTGTGCTAAATGTCTCGTGGAAGTTTTGCTCTTCATCAGCAAAAAGAGAGAATGAAAAAGCTGGTGATTTCTCCGTTGTAACCCCTAATTGCACATGTTGGGCAAATCACTGTGGATTTTGATCCTTACCCTGTTATTAGGACCCACAAAAACAACTTTAGATGTGTTTGGACATTATGGGACTTGTCTGTAAGTCCTGTTATTTCCATGATGCTTATTGATGACAATTATTTGCAGAATGAGAGAGGAGGAAAATGAACCCATTTGGAAATATTAAATGAATGGAACAAACAAGGAGTCCAATTATAGTCAGAGCCCAGAAAATCTATAGGTCATCGTAAAGGATTGTATACTTTATTGGTTTTGTTTTGTGTTTTAGCATGCCAAATGTATGTGAAAACAGTATCTTTGTATGTGTGTAAATTGGGCCCCTCTGATAACATAGACACAGGGTTGAGCTTTATATTTTTATGTATAATTTCTTGTGTTTTTGACTTTTTCAGCATTAACAATAAGCTCCAGCAGCCTGAGGCAGCGGCTGGCGTCTTGGAGTTCGCCATGAGGCATTATGGGGAACTGGTATGTGTGTCATGTCCTCCTGTTCACTGTTTTTTTTTTTTTTGTTTTGTTTTGGGTTTTTTATGAGTCAAAAAATTGAAATACACATTTCCCTACAGTGCACGTGTGGATTGAAAACCCTTGTTAACCCTTTGTGATTTTAGATGTAAAGAACACATTTAATTGTTGTCACGAGACCGAACACAGGACTGTACTGGCACTGCGATCTGTTTGATAGAGAGAGGAAATGTGCTGTGATATAAGCGTAGTGGGAACTCTGTACAACCTTCAGTAGGCCCCTTTACAAAGAGCCGCTATGCAGGCAGCCGTAATGATTTCCTGCGGCTTCACTATTACATCACCCCCTGCGTATACTCGTTGAGAGAATAGCCTTGTGTGCTGCACCTCTGGGAAGGTTTGACCTCATTGTACAGGGAAGCAGAGGGATGGGGGCACTTCACACAAACATCTCTTGGAAAGCCAAATACTCCATCACATTTTTTATGATGCTTTGGGATATCCCCAGGGATTTTTTTACATTAGAAGCCAAGGAGCAGTGATCCTGCTGACCCTTGCATACTGAATCGAGCAACAGTGTTTGAGTGAGAATTACTTCAACTAAACATAGTACATCCAACTTGAAAGCAAACAAGATCCCACTGTCCGGTTTGCATGTCCAAATTTAAAATACGTGAATTCTTTCTCAGATTTCTTTTCTTTAACTTACACGCATAATGGGCATGCCTTGGCATATTCATCATGAAGCTCCAATAGGTCACAATCAATATGTTACCAAGTGTGACAAAGATGCATGTAGCAGAGCCTCGTTCATTTGTGTGTTTCCCCCAGCTTTTCATATGTAATGCATGTTTTCCCGTTCGGGAGCGTTCATACGAACGGAACTCAATCATCTTCTGAAATCGCATTAGAATGTTCCCACCAATTAATCAGAACGTTCCCACTTGCAACATAAGTGTGAAACCGCAAGGGAAGTAATTGAGTGATTCCCCTGGGTGGCCGCCATTTCGTAAAAGGAGACGCTTCCCTTGCAGGTTTCAGCACAGGAACCTCGTGAACGGAGACTAGTCGGGGAATGTGCCACTGTGGGGGCTTTTGAGGTTTGTGGGGACACTTTTGGGGCACTAGCTCGTTTGGTGGGTTTTTCTGTGCCTGGGAGACAAAGGGGTGAATTTTCCCGTGTTTTGGGTCCTAGGCACAAAGGCTCTTGGGATGAAGAACCTTGCCTGGGGGGGAGGGCTTTCCATACCTGGGAGACAAAGGGACAGCAACCACTTTTCACGCCTTTGGCTCCCTGGTGTGGGGGATCCTGGGATATGACCCCTGTTTGTTTGGGATGAAGACACGATGGCATACCATTTTCAAAAGAAGACAACCCAAGGTATTGCAAATGGGGTATGTTCAGTCTTTTTTTAGTAGCCACTTAGTCACAAACACTGGCCAAAGTTAGCATTCATAATTATTTTTTATTTATTTTTATTTTTTGCATTTTTAACACACAAACAAATATAAATGCTAACTTTGGCCAGTGTTTGTGACTAAGTGGCTACTAAAAAAGACTGGACATACTCCATATTGAATACCCTGGATTGTCTACTTTAAAAAAAAAAAAATATGTATGTGAGGTGTGATTCAGAGATTTATGATCGATAAGTGTTACAATGTCACTATTGATACATTTTAAAAATATATATTTTGAAACAGCAATGTCCTACTTGTACTCATAGCCCTATGACTTGTGTGTAAAAAAAAAAAAGCATGTAAACACTGGGTGTTTTTAAACTCAGGACAAAATGTTGAATCTTGAATCTATTTAGCAGTTTTTTTTCCATTAGCTTTTGTAGGTAAGTAAAAAAAAAAAAAAAAAAAAAATGTTTTTATTTATTTATTAATATTTTAATTTTTTAAAAAGTAAATTATGACATGATACAAATAATAGTATGTAAAGAAAGCCCTTCTTGTCCTGAAAAACACAACATATAAATTGTATGGGAACAGTAAATCAGTAAGAGGAAAATTACAGCTAAACACTTAATGTACAACATGGCCAAAACAGCCCCGGTCCTCAACGTACAACATGGCCAAAACAGCCCCGGTCCTCAACGTACAACATGGCCAAAACAGCCCCGGTCCTCAACGTACAACATGGCCAAAACAGCCCCGGTCCTCAACGTACAACATGGCCAAAACAGCCCCGGTCCTCAACGTACAATATGGCCAAAACAGCCCCGGTCCTCAACGTACAACATGGCCAAAACAGCCCCGGTCCTCAACGTACAACATGGCCAAAACAGCCCCGGTCCTCACAACATGGCCAAAACAGCCCCTGTCCTCAACGTACAATATGGCCAAAACAGCCCCGGTCCTCAACTTACAATATGGCCAAAACAGCCCCAACTGTATTAAACCTCAACGTACAATATGGCCAAAACAGCCCCGGTCCTCAACGTACAGTATGGCCAAAACAGCCCCGGTCCTCAACGTACAGTATGGCCAAAACAGCCCCGGTCCTCAACGTACAACATGGCCAAAACAGCCCCGGTCCTCAACGTACAACATGGCCAAAACAGGGGTTAAAGCAGCTCTGTCACGTTCCCCCAAATATAAGTATTTTCTACAGATAAAGTCTTTTAAAGATATAAGACAAAGCATGTAATGTTGTATTGATTTAGCATTGGTCAGGCTCTATCGAATACAGTGCCACAATAACTACTTTTGCACAATGAAGTGAATATGGTGCCTAGAGTCTGCTTTCAAGTATTAAACCATTTTCAAGCAGTTTAACATTGCAGATTGTCCTTAAGTGCCGGTCTAAGTTAAAGTAGTTATGGTGCTCAGTCTTTCTTTATGGGACATCAGTTCTTATGTTTCAGTACCTTCTCCAGGGCTGTCCTACTGGTGGCCCTAAATGCTATCAAAATTAATTTTGAAGCTAAAAAAAAGATTGACTTACACAGGTAGAGGGACACTCGTTTATTTTTTTTGGTGAGGGTGATCTTGTTATTTATATTCCTTCCCAACCACAGTACTCTGGGTTACAGGCATTTTACAAAAGCAAATGCCACAAAAGCATTAGAAACCGTTGACCGAAGAAAATTAATGCAGACATTTATGTTCGTTTCATGTTTTATTACAACTGCCAAAACTACACATTTATTTAAATCATGTTACAACTTTTCTTCTGGCTGCAATTTCATGAAAGCCTTTTCCAGAACCAGAAGGAAGGATTACTTTGAAATCTTCATGGCTAACCCCCTGATCCCCAGATTTCAGTAGCTTCAGTTAACATTAGGGCACTGAGTGATGGCTTGTGTTGAGTTGAGTTGCAAAGTGTGCGCCATATGTAAAGGAATCAGAAAATAAGGATCCAAAGGAATTTACAAAGGAACTGCAAATGTTTGGGCAAAGTTGTCAAATTAAAAGTAAAATCAAGTCGAGTTACAGAGTTAGTCATTTATTTTCAGTTTTCCTATTCTGGCTTAAAATGTTGTTGCCAATTCTTCACTATCCCCTGTTTATTGAATAACCCCAAATGGAAATGGTCAAGTTGCACTTATTGGCGCTCTGCTTCACGAAACCCCAGTGATACTAAATTAATGGGTCATTCTATTTTTTTGTTTTTGATTTAGAGCTTTAAGAAAACAGTCATTAATCTCAAAGGGTTCCATCAGATAGTTTTATTATTCCCAGAGACCTGTAATTGGGGTAGAAAGGGGGGCACACATGTGACTCGAAAAATCTACGGATTTTCTGTATCTGAAGCCAGCATAAGATGTGTATTATTAGTCAGGTCCATAAATATTGGGACATCAACATAATTCTAATCTTTTTGGCTCTATACACCAACACAATGGGTTTGAAATGAAATTTAACTGCAGACTTTCAGCTTTAATTTGAGGGTATTTACATCCAAATCAGGTGAACGGTGTAGGAATTACAACAGTTTGTATATGTGCCTCCCACTTTTCAAGGGACTAAAAGTAATGGGACAGATTAACAGTCATAAATCAAAGTAATGGGACAATTGGCTGCTCAGCTGTTCCATGGCCAGGTATGTGTTATTCCCTCATTATCCCATTTACAAGGAGCAGATAAAAGGTCCAGAGTTCATTTCAAGTGTGCTATTTGCATTTGGAATCTGTTGCTGTCAACTCTCAATATGAGATCCAAAGAGCTGTCACTATCAGTGAAGCAAGCCATCATTAGGCTGAAAAAACAAAACAAACCCATCAGAGAAATAGCAAAAACATTAGGTGTGGCCAAATCAACTGTTTGGAACATCCTTAAAAAGAAAGAACGCACCGGTGAGCTCAGCAACACCAAAAGACCCGGAAGACCACGGAAAACAACTGTGGTGGATGACCGAAGAATTCTTTCCCTGGTGAAGAAAACACCCTTCACAACAGTTGGCCAGATCAAGAACACTCTCCAGGAGGTAGGTGTATGTGTGTCAAAGTCAACAATCCAGAGAAGACTTCACCAGAGTGAATACAGATGGTTCATCACAAGATGTAAACCATTGGTGAGCCTCAAAAACAGGAAGGCCAGATTAGAGTTTGCCAAACAACATCTAAAAAAGCCTTCACAGTTCTGAAACAACATCCTATGGACAGATGAGACCAAGATCAACTTGTACCAGAGTGATGGGAAGAGAAGAGTATGGAGAAGGAAAGGAACTGCTCATGATCCAAAGTATACCACCTCATCAGTGAAGCATGGTGGTGGTAGTGTCATGGCGTGGGCATGTATGGCTGCCAATGAAACTGGTTCTCCTCAGCCAAATGCTTCAGAACTCATTGGACGGCGCTTCACAGTGCAGATGGACAATGACCCGAAGCATACTGCAAAAGCAACCAAAGAGTTTTTTAAGGGAAAGAAGTGGAATGTTATGCAATGGCCAAGTCAATCACCTGACCTGAATCTGATTGAGCATGCATTTCACTTGATGAAGACAAAACTGAAGGGAAAATTCCCCAAGAACAAGCAGGAACTGAAGACCGTTGCAGTAGAGGCCTGGCAGAGCATCACCAGGGATGAAACCCAGCGTCTGGTGATGTCTATGCGTTCCAGATTTCAGGCTGTAATTGACTGCAAAGGATTTGCAACCATGTATTAAAAAGTGAAAGTTTGATTTATGACTGTTAATCTGTCCCATTACTTTTGGTCCCTTAAAAAGTGGGAGGCACATATACAAACTATTGTAATTCCTACACCGTTCACCTGATTTGGATGTAAATACCCTCAAATTAAAGCTGAAAGTCTGCAGTTAAAGCACATCTTGTTCATTTCATATCAAACCCATTGTGTTGGTGTAGAGAGCCAAAAAGATTAGAATTGTGTCGATGTCCCAATATTTATGGACCTGACTGTATGTCTGATAACTGCTTTCTACTCACTGCTGGTAAGTTATAAAAAATAAATCCTATGCATGGTGGAAGTAGGGTTACCTGGCTTAGGCTCCATATATGTGTGTTATATAGTATTTTCTGTGTAGATTTGGCATACCTTGACTTTTTTTGTACTGTTGGCACCATTTCACCCAGTTCTGCCCCTGGACTGGATAGAAAAAGACCTAAAGTGACCTGCATATATTTTCATACTATTGGTTACACCTTCAAGTTGTCAGCATTAAAATTGGAATACCTTGTTATGATAGATACATATGTCTACTGAATTGTGAATTGCAATGACTTATCTGAAAAGAATAAGTATTATTTCATTAACTTTGTAACTGTCTGTCTCGCATGCACCTCCTGTCACTGTTGGTTACAAAGTGCCTTCTGTTCCTTCATACAATGTAGGAGATCCAGGCCACGTGGTACGAGAAGCTTCATGAATGGGAGGATGCTCTGAGTGCTTACGAGAAGAAACTAGAGGTTAACAAGGATGATGCCGAGTTGATCCTGGGACGCATGCGATGCCTGGAAGCACTGGGAGAATGGCAAGTACATTCTGCCATAGTTAATCCATTTCTAGAGTAACATTGTCATTGCGTATGCGATGGCCGTCACATTACGGGTTCTTAGACACGCCCTTGCATACAAACATTTTTTTAGGCTGTTTTCTCAACATTATCAAGGTTTTTGTCCAATGTTTAACTGTAATCACCTTTTAAAAGATTCCCTAAACCAAATGATACTTCACTTTTAAATGCCCTGCATTTTGTATACATCCTCAGGGTTTACAGCTTCCAGGAGTGATCTCGGCCTAGGCACCTGTCAGCGAATTGTAGTCTTTCTCTTATTTTCAGTTTAATCTAAAGTACATTCTATAAAGCTCTGCTCAGCATGGATTAATGAGACACATCACAACAGTTTCTTCAGAAAATGTGAATGAATGAAACATCTGCTCAGGTTGAAAGAAGCTGCAGGTGAAGGTGTTCCCTTAATGCAGCTTACTAGTGGAAGTGGCTGACGCCATATAAACAGTGCTCTTCCATCAATCAGGCACACAATTTCAAAGTTAAATAAGTGTATTTATGGTCAATCTCTAGGACCCAGAGGTTTAGACTCAGACCGGACAGTCCTGTTTTATATTCTTGTTAATGTCACTGTCTCGATTAACAAGAACAATGTGCTAGAGGAGGCTGTCAATTGTAGGAGCAGTTCAAGAAGCAAGACAGGCCTAAGTGCTTTTAGATTTCACCAGGTAACAAAACAATTAGCAGGCCAGGAGGTCAAGTGGTGCTTATCTGCAGACCATTTATCAGATTGTCAGCTCACGTGGCATTTCAAAGACTCTTCACTAAACAATGACAGGTGCTGCTCTGTGAACTGTTTAACATTAAACTTGCTGACTACTCGCCCAGGGAGTTCTTTACCCATCTGTCCCCATCCGCCAGAGCTGATGTTAACTGTTAGATGCTTACTGAGTAAAACACATGTCCTCCTCGAATGATTGGAACTAGTTGTAGAGGATTCCACATCTGACATGGATTTCTACAGATACAGGAGCTGTATGCGTATAGCAATATGTTCTTGTGATCATGTAACTAGTTTTTTCGCAGGACTTTTGTACACATGTTCACTCTGTTAATTTGAAACATTGCAGGCAAAGAGAATTCTTTAGAAAACTTGATCATAAATGTTCATTTTTTTCTTATTAATTTACTTTTATCTAAGACTTTTTTTATATTTTTCTACGTACCTAAATCTGGAGAAAATATCTATTGCACTTCACAGTGGTGGTGATTTCAACACACCTTGATGCCCACACACTTAAACTGCTTGAGATGTTGCTTATCTCGTTTCTGAAAGCATCCTAATAGCTATTTTTCGGAGATCAGTTGACTTGGCTAATTAAAGCCCTGCCGGACAGGTTGTGGTAATGGTTATGGTGCAGGAGGCTATATAAGCAGTCCGAAAATTACAAAGTGTGATAGCACTCAATCATATTATAGGAGCAGTCCCTTTGTTTTTGGCAAATGTCTTATATGCACAACCTCTGCAGGAGACAGTGATGATAAAACCCACGTCCTCATTATCTGTTCAAGACATTCGTTTAGCATTAACATGCATTTGCTCTTGGAGTATAGCAAGATTGCTAGACCTCTTGAAAACCATTTGACTAAATGGGCGCTCCCCCAATAACCTCCTTGCACCATAACAATAACGTGTGGTTATTTTTCTTGTGAAGTACTTTTAAATGTGAGAATTTGCCTACGGCTTCTCGGAAACAACTTTGTTTTCCCTCTGCATTGAAGCATTACTGTCTCTGTAAAATTCAGTTGAAGCAGTTCTATTGGATACTGACTGTTTGAGTATTCTGCCTGTTTTTATCTGATTTAGACATTGTAATTGTCTTTAGAATTCAGTCAGATGCAGTGGCCAGCAATCTTTCCTCTGAGGCTGGTGTCTCATTTCTTTGGAGAATCTAAACTGTATCCCAGAACTTAAAATTCCGCAGGCATCATAACATTTTTTTTTTTCCTCTCCCCAACGTGCTAGTTATTTTTTTTTTGCTCCCACTTGCTGTTTATGTTCTTTTTTATCTTTTCATAATTGGACATTTTTACAGCATGATTGACGTAGTACAAACCTTTTTATTGAAAGCAACTTGACGGCTGAGTTAATTCGCAAAATAGTTCAATTATTCCAATCCTCTGTTCTGGGGAAGTAATGAAACCTCCTAGAAATTTCACGCTCTTCCTTAACTTTACAGAAAGGATAAGTTTATGTACATTTCTGCATCCCTTTTAAACTTATGTTCAGGGTTTTCAAGGAAAAACAAAATAACCTTTAAAACTTGTGATTTCCATCTTCTGTTCCATATGTTTTGTATTCGATCTCAACTGACTTTTTATAGCAAAAGCTTTCACTATTTAATTGTGGCATTGATGTAAATGGGATTAAAGCATCATTTGTCCATTTTATATATCTATATTATTAAAATGAAGTTATAAAATATGAATTTGTTGTCTTGTTGAAGAGTCCAGGTCCTGTTTGCATGATAGCTGTGTTCAGACAATCTGCTGGAATCCAGAGTCTTGACCAGTGGCTACTGCAGTTAAAATATCAGATGACCTGGAGTCACTCTATTGCAATTTATCAACATTTAAGTTTGTGATCCTCTCCATGGCTCTTCTATGTTAGGAATTGTGGGGTGTTATGATGGCCAAATATGTCCATGCCTCCAGCACACTTTTTGCTCATTTTCCTTAACCTTTTTTACTTGGATACATGTTATTTATTTAATTATCTTTCACATTTTTCTTGACAAGTACAATATATTGTTATATTGAACTTTGGATTACCCACAGCAACTGTCATCAGTTTACTAAACAAATGTCAAATAGATTCCGTTATTAAATCTGTTAGTTTGAATTGGCTGCTAGTTGAAGTCAAAACTGCAAAATGTGAAGTATGTCTTTTGTGAGAAATGGCACTCTTTTCAACAGCAAGCCTACTGGGGCAGCATATATGCCCCAAATCGAATTGAAGATGTAGTGATTTTATTGCTTAGACTATCGCTTTAACTGCTGAATCATGATGCCTTTAATGAGAATTCAATGCATTAAAAGAATGGAATGGCCTATAATATTCCTATGAAGGAAACTGACAAAGAGAATGCACGCCATAAGACCAGACATGTCTGAAACTGCAAAATCATGGATTGTTCTTTTACCCATCACATTCTTTTATATTTGTTTTAATCTTCCTGTGGATGTTTTTTGCACAATTTGCTTTCATGTCGTAGGTAGACCTTCATCCATCACTAAGATGCTGTATATTATTCCTGGCGTGTTAAGCTGTACAAAACATTGTTAAATGTGGGAATAAATGGAGTTAGAACCAAATGCTACCTATGAAAAGGAAATAAAGTGTTGGGAGTCCGGTACTGTTATATATTAGTGCTCCCACTGGAAGGCTATTGAAAGTATGTAACAAACAAAGAAAAGTTGTATAAATGGCGCTATAAATCAAATAACGTATATCCCAGTGCGTCTCAAGCTACACAAGTGTTGTATCACCCAAAACACTTAAATCAAATATGGAGAAACAGAGAGAAGTTGGCACACATAATGGATATTTTTCTCCTTAATAATCTGAAATAAATATAACAGAACCTTCATAGGGCAACAAATAAAAGAACATTTTCAGATATATGTATAACAGGAAAAACTCACAATTTGGAGAGCCATATAAGTCGGCTCTCTACTAAAAAGGCAGGTGAGTAATCCCAAAACGACAAGTAGCCACAGTAATGATGGTCCCCCAGGGAAAGAGTTGCTTCGAATCTACCTGGACAGAATTTCAGGAACCCAAAGTAGCTCAAAAAGGCTGTCTTTATTACATATAAAATAAATAAAGGTATAGAAAACAGTAGCACAACGCGTTTCAACCAATATACTGGTCTTCCTCAGGTGCACCTGAGGAAGACCAGTATATTGGTCTTTATTTATTTTATATGTAATAAAGACAGCCTTTTTGAGCTACTTTGGGTTCCTGAAATTCTGTCCAGGTGGATTCGAAGCAACTCTTTCCCTGGGGGACCATCATCACTGCGGCTACTTGTCGTTTTGGGATTACTCACCTGCCTTTTTAGTAGAGAGCCGACTTATATGGCTCTCCAAATTGTGAGTTTTTCCTGTTATACATATATCTGAAAATGTTCTTTTATTTGTTGCCCTATGAAGGTTCTGTTATATTTATTTCAGATTATTAAGGAGAAAAATATCCATTGTGTGCGCCAACTTCTCTCTGTTTCTCCATATTCAAAGTATGTACTACTTGTTTTATATCATTTTCATGTTTACTGCTTTCCCTTTAAGGATAATCCCGGTATCTTCTGCCCTTGGTAAACTTCTTTACTGTTTCAACTGAAAGGTTACTCCATGTATATTATACTGTCCTTTCTCTATCATTAACTGTTACTACTTCTTCTCAAAAGTTAGTCAAAGTACTACACTGTCACATTCAATGCTTCCACTGGAAGAATGTTGCAGGTATCTACTACTACTCTCTCTGCTTCATGTAGCGCACAATACGGTGTAAGGACCTATGCTGCATTTCATCTTAAAATATTCTCTGTAGGGATATATTTAATTAGCCAGAACCGGAGCCAATGCTATGTTGGCTACCTCGGTTTTGCACAACTGTGATGTGCGGATGATGAATACAAAGCCTTTCAGTTGGAGGTGCTGCACTGTGAACATGCCTGCAAGGGAATGATAGCTGTGAAAAGACTTGCGTCCATCAAGTTCAGCCTTCCTCGCGTATATTTTTGCTGTTGATCCAAAAGAAGGCAAAAAACCCAGTCTGAAGCACTTCCAATTTTACAGCAAACTAGGAAAAAATTCCTTCTTGACCCCAAAATAGCAGTCAGATGTCTCCTTGGATCAAGCAGCTATTACCCCACTAATTAGAAATTATATCCCTGTATGTTATGTTTTTTCAAGTATTTATCCAATTGCAGTTTAAACATCTGTATGGACTCTGATAAAACCACCTCTTCAGGCAGGGAATTCCATATCCTTACTGCTCTTACTGTGTAAAAAAAAACCTTTTCTTTGCCTTAGATGAAATCTCCTTTCTTCCAGCCTAAATGTGTGACCTCGTGTCCTATGTATAGCCCTGTTTATGAATAGATTTCCAGATAAAGGTTTGTACTGGCCCCGAATATATTTGTATAATGTTATCATATCCCCTCTGAGGTGCCGTTTTTCCAAACTAAAGAGATTTAAATGTTTTAACCTTTCTTCGTAACTAAAATGCTCCATTCCATTTACCAATTTTGTAGCTCGTCTCTATGTGTGGCCTCTGCTCAGAGCACTTCTTATGCTCTCTCAAGGGTTAAAGGAGCAGCATGGCACTTTCTACAGCAGTTGGTGGGGGGTTGAAAGGTGAGATATGTTGTCTCTAGTCTCACTATTTGTGAACGAGCAACGCTGGTACAGTACACATTCCTTTAGATTAAACAGATGTTCGTGCTGGGGAAAAAAGGGCAGATTGTCATTAACTGCAGGAATAAGATCTGTGGCTAATTATAGGCACATTTTAGGAGTTAGAAGGAACTTTGCAGATATAGTAAATACTTTTATTTTATTTATATAAACATTTAGAACCTAGCGGTTTCCTATAAAGTTGACCTTTTTTGCTTCCATTGGCCCTGTCAGAGAAAGTTAAAATGGAATATTCTAGGCTCCGTGCCCATCTTATACCAGTAATAGGGTGCTTTATATTTGTGCTGCCTTGTCCTTTTAAATGATATGTGCATCTTAAAACAGGAGTTGCTGAAGCAAGTGACCATAACTCCACTGAATGTAACAGTTATAACTAGCCAAATCATAAATATACTGAATAATACACTACAACTCCTAATAAGCCTCCACTCGGCAATCATGTGATATTAAGATGTCCTATTGCAGTCCACGTGTTGTCTGTGTGTGGCCTTCGCAGACATAACCGTGAAAACACACACTGCAAACATGGCCTGTGTGTGTATATAGCCCGCCTGCTCCAGGAATCTTGACAATTAGTCACATGGACACACATATCAGATGACTTCATAAAGTACTTGACTATCAAAGGCAAGTAATGTACAGTTTTCTGCAGCGATTTTACTGCCTGTGAATATTTTGATTAGTAATTGATAAGATATATGGATAATTGTTGTTTTTAATGTGGATATGTATTTACAGAGAGGGTAGTAGATATCTAGAATATTATCACGATGCTATAGAAAGCCTTCCCTTTATGCATTTTTAGCAATTCTCACTTGCAGAGTCTTTTCTTCCAGCCTAAACAAGTTTTAGGATATTTTTGATGGTAAAGTTTGCAACTATGATGAGCGAGGAAATATAAGTGTGATTGGTAATAGGAAAATACTTGTCGGAAAACAGAATCTGGAATGTTGATTTAAGATCCAACGCAAAAACGCATTGTTAATGGCATCGCCATGGCAATCTACCGTGCAGACTCTTAAGGCAGTCAAATTGGAGCATACATTTTTCTGCAAATTATAAAAACAGCCAAGAAAAATATTTAGACATTTGCGAATAAAGAATGTGAGTCTTTCTTTCCATTTGGAAAACCAGAGTCTGAAAGATTAGAGTTGGGAACTATTGATCTGTAGATCAGGGTTTTTACAATGAATGGGGCGAGACTAGAATTTTTAAAGTCTGCTTTTGTTTTGGATTGTGATGAAAAAAATTATTTAACCACGTCTTAAGTGTTATAGAAATCTTGTTGCTACTGAATATCCAAACCAGGTGTTGCTGTCTTAAATTGCGTGTGATAGGGAAAAGCTTTAGAAGAAAATGCCTGATTTGAAAGACAATGACTTTGTATATTTAAAGATAAATAGATGAGCTACTGTCTTTGTCCGAGATCCAAGTTTTAAGTAAACATACAGCTGGGTGCTTGGGAGACACTGTCAGTCAGATGGCTCTCTTTAGACCCAATTGTTTTCTTTGACTTTCTGTCAGGACACTAGTGAATGTTTGCTGTACTTGTACTTTAAATCTAGTTATTGATTATTCAGATGTATTTTGTATAAATGGTTTTCAGGCATTTCTAGGTCTTTGGTATTGTTTATATATCATGTGTTGGTCAGTGAAATCCCAGTCCTGCAGCTAACAGTTCATTTGTGATGTCAGCTTGTGTCCTGAAGAGCTTGCAATCAATAGGCATTATTCTCTAATATGTCTACTGTACTTGTGCGTTTTTTTTCCTGATGCTGTTATCAAAGCGTGGTGCAGACTGTGTTAAATGTCTGATGATTTTTTTAAATTATTTTTATGTATCTAATAATCTGATCTTCAGGGGACAGCTTCATCATCAGTGTTGTGAAAACTGGACCAATGTGAACGAGGATGCTCAAGCCAAAATGGCGCGAATGGCGGCTGCTGCTGCATGGGGTTTAGGTAAGACTATAAGGAGTCCTTCCTGGCACCTCATTCATATCTTGGCAGTTCTTTCCAAAAAGTGTGTGAAGGAAAGCTTTAAGGAGGCATTCAGTGTGAATACAATTTAATTGGGTAAAAATAGATTCTTCCTATGTCATGCCTAATGCCTGCATTGTCTACGGATGTCTCACTGCACTTCCTAAGGGAAATAGAGATCTAGTTTGCATTATTCGGTTGTGTAGTTTTTAAAACCAGTTTGGAAACAAACCTTTCTGTGTTATTGAGGCCTAAATGTTCATATCAAAAGATATAATTTAGTGTGTAAACTCATTTACTGTTAATTGCAGAAAATCTAAAATTCTATGACAGGTAAAAGCTCAGCAAGTGGTAAATGTAGTCTGCAAACATTTGCTGTTCTACTGTAGAATAAATGGCTTTGAGCTAGTGGCCTGGTATGAGTTGGTATGCAGCTAAAATGACCCATGAATGCAACCCAAAATGCATGTGGTTTGGCTTCTGCGTATGTGTTTCCTTTGCAGAACAACCCAGACTATAATAGAAGGTCCAAATCCTATCTCATCTACAAGGTTTTAATCTTGATAACAAGTCTTTAATGTGTACTTGACATGTATATTATTATTATCATTATTATTATGATAGCGCCATCAGAATTCGTAGCGCTGTACAATGGGTGGACTAACAGATATGTAATTGTAACTGGACATACAGGAACAGAGAGGTTTCATTGGTTGCCCTTTTACAATCCTAGCAATGTTTTAACTGTCCAATGAGTAACACAACCTTTTTATTGGGCTAGGCTATTCCAGGACATTTTAAGTAACTTCATGACCCACTGAGCTATTTATGGAACTTAAAATGTAAGATCATAGCGACTTCTTTTCACAGACTGATTTCTAAATACTTGTTTTGTATTTTGAAATATGTTTAAATACATATTACTGTGTGTTCTATTGCCATAACAGATGTGGGACACACAAAACGTGGAGCTCCTAGAAAAATATAAATTTTATGGAATTTGGGATGGTCCCTACCTAAAAAAAAGTGGAATGCTCTTTTCTACCTCAATAGGAGTTTAATTGTATCTTGTGTTTATGCCATCTGTCTTCATCCACCAAGAGGCTTCATCAAACATTATCAAAGTCTCCTGTGCAGGTTCAGGACAGTCAACACCAGATCTGTGCACCTGTGGCTTAATGTTCTTCCCTCCTGTCCTTTGTGTCCTTTAGAACAGTGGGACAGTATGGAGGAGTATACATGCTTAATCCCACGGGATACACATGATGGAGCATTTTACAGAGCAGTGCTCGCTCTCCACCAAGATCTCTTCTCTTTGGCCCAACAGGTAACATTTTCTTTCTACAGTTACAAAAATGGAATGCGATCTTGCTAGATGGTGTTTTTTTGGTTTTTTTCTACCCTCTGTGAACATCTTATTTACTTATCTTATTTTGTGTCTTAGTGCATTGACAAAGCCAGGGACATGCTTGATGCTGAACTCACAGCAATGGCTGGAGAAAGCTACAGCCGTGCCTATGGGGTAAGGGTTTTTTTCTTCGACACTTTCCAGTTTGCCTGTTTGTACGGTACAGTTCTATTGTGATGTGTTTGTCATTCAGTTCTGTTCGTTGTCTTTTTAGCATCAGCAAAGCTATTTGGTCATTGACATTTTGTATTTTTTTTTTCTTGCTTTGTAGGCCATGGTTACATGTCAGATGCTGTCTGAGCTGGAGGAAGTAATCCAGTACAAACTGGTACCGGAGCGGCGAGAGGTTATCCGCCAGACCTGGTGGGATAGGCTCCAGGTGAGAAGTGGGGGTAGAATGTAAATGTCTGCCCCAGACTGTCACATGTTTGGAAACACACAGCTATCCATGTAAGCTTTGGGTCCAGGGTGGGCCAGCCCATCCTTTTATTAATATTGCTGTTTACAACCGGTCTGCCTTTTTAAAGAACGTCCTTGGGATATTTCCACAATCCCAGTCACATTTCCAACATACAGTGTAGTGTCTGGATAGAGTTTATTAGGTGTGGAAGAGGAGGGGGGGAGCAGGTATTTCTCGCCTTCAGCAGCCAGATTGTCTGTGCTAGGTTTGTACTTTTGGCTCAGTAGGCACACACTGGCATGCAGTCACACCCATGACACACGCAGGCAGACCGCGGCACATGGTGACACACTCTGCTATGGGAGAGTGCAGACCAAAGGATGAGATCCAGTCCAAATGTCCACAGCTAATGACATCTGGGAAATGCAGAGCCATGTTTGTCTGTTCCTTAGGCCACTATGTGCGTCTGGAAGGTGTTATTTCTGTTTCCGAATAATGTGCCAGTATATTCCTCAGAACAGCACAAAACCAAATAAAGAAAATGTTTAGTATATAGTATATTTTTTACTATAAGTCTATGATTTAAGGGACACTCCAGACAGCTAAACAACTTTTACTTGCTTAAAAGCTTTGTGTCAAGAGTGTGTCCTATTTTTTTCATTCTCAAATTTTTTTTTTTTATAAATTAACCTGATTACACCCCCATTGCTTTTCAAGCAGATAACAGGTCCTGTTACTTCCTGGTTCAGTTGGCTTATTTGCACTGAACTCACTAGGCAGCAATTGCCCAGAGCACATACCTTACAAAGACTTTATTTTTGGAGCTTTATTGGGAAGTCTGTGATTGGACAGCCACAGAAAGTCGGGGTGTGGTCAGAAGGGATAGCTTGCAAAGGCAGCAGATAAGACCTGCAGTTTTTCCAAGCTGTTTTTAGATATAACTCCAATGAAAATGTTTTTATTTGGGGTATATCTACTAAACAGTGATCTTTATTTTTGGGGGGCAGTGGAGTGTCCCTCTAACCCGTTGAGAATGAACATCACTCATCTCTAATTAGCAAAGTGTCTCACCACATCTTACTTACCCTAATTTTCCCTTTCCTTACACAATTTCACCAGTCCTTCCTTTATAATTGACCCGCTACCTCCTTAATTTGTCCGTTCACTCTGCTTTTGCTGATTCGTTGCAGATTTCACATTGCCCTCCTGTTAATTGTGTTCTTGCATAGCAAGACCACTTAATGTTATCTCACATATATTATTATTCTTATTATAGCCAAATTTACCACCCTAACTCCTCCCACAGTTTTTACACTACATAGACAGTAATATACCGAAACGTGCGGATTGTTCCCGATCGGATTGCTATTACTTTGTGGAACGTTTCGCCAAATGGTTCACGGAATATCATCTTTCTTGTGGCGAAATTGGTCCCATAGGAATGAATGGCAAAATGTTCAAAACTAGAGTGGGAGCTGGCAAAAGCTTAAAAATCAGGACATGATTTCTAAACTGCCACCACTCCCTCATTTTCAAGCCCACCTACACAAATCTTATATCAAAACGTTCAGCTACCCCTGCTGCCACTAGAAATGTCCACGGCTAACCCATAGTCCTGATCGTTTTCACAATATGACCATTTGTTTGCAACTCACGCCGTCCATTGACATTCATTGAAACTCCACTCTAGCCACCTCAAATTTGAAGGGCAATTTCTAAACTGCGACTGTGCCTTCATTGTTAATATTTCAGAGACATACTATGCATAAATGTAGGTCTGGGTCTTGTGATTCTCACAATATAAAGCTCTTCGCTGTAGGATTTATAGTTTTTAAAAAACGACCATTTGAAAATGGCAACAGCCAAAATACTCTGACCTGTGCCGGGCTGGAGCAGCAAGTGATGTCATAAACGGGGCCTTTTGAACACCTGCTAATGTTTTTATAAATGTATGTTTTAATGTAACTGTGAAGCACTTTGGGTATCAACTCTGCAATTAAAAGTGCTATATAAATAAATGATAACAGTTACTCTGCCGACTCCAGTTGGAGACTACTGGTGGAGGCACGAACACTTTACACAATTTCCCCAGAAATTGTAGCTTTTCTAGTTTTACTACACATCCTGCACTTTAAATGCCATCACTGTAATCTCGTGTTCACTGTACTATGTTGGTGATCCTGTGTTAAAGATTCTTGTAGGTTGTCTTTCAATGGTTGAATTTGGTTTATTGAGTAGCTCGTACTTGGTGCTTATTTACTTCTGTGTGCATTTTTTTTTTCTTTTCTTCCCATCAGGGTTGTCAGCGCATTGTTGAAGACTGGCAGAAAATCTTAATGGTTCAGTCGCTTGTAGTCGGTCCCCATGAGGACATGAGAACTTGGCTGAAGTATGCAAGTTTGTGTGGCAAGAGTGGCCGACTGGTAAGTACCACGTTTTCTCTTCTCGTAAAACATGATGATTTTTTATTTTTTCTTCATAAAATAAAGTTTAAAAAAAACACCCATCCCTGCAGACCTATCCACATCCACCATGCCCCTCACTTTAGTCTAATTAAATGCTTCTTCTAAAGAAGTACAGTTAAACCTAAAACACATGCGCGACAGGGGGAGGGTGGGACAGTGTCTGCATTAGGCAGTATATACAGCATTGCTGGCATGCTGCATGTGGGGACTGGTGTATTTTATGGACAGGGGGAGGGTGGGACAGTGTGCATTAGGCACTATGTACAGCATTGCTGGCATGCTGCACGTGGGGACTGGTGTATTTTATGGGCAGGGGGAGGGTGGGACAGTGTTTGCATTAGGCAGTATATCCAGCATTGCTGGCATGCTGCACGTGGGGACTGGTGTATTTTATGGGCAGAGGGAGGGTGGGACAGTGTCTGCATTAGGCACTATATACAGCATTGCTGGCATGCTGCACGTGGGGACTGGTGTATTTTATGGGCAGTGGGAGGGTGGGACAGTGTCTGTCTGCATTAGGCACAATATACAGCATTGCTGGCATTCTGAATGTGGTGACTGGTGTATTTTATTGTCAGCGGTGGGTGGGACAGTGTCTGAATTAGGCACTATATATATGCACATATACATATACATACATATATATATATATATATATATATATATATATATATATATATATATATATATATATATATATATATATATATATATATAGCATTGCTGGCATGCTGCACGTGGGGACTGGTGTATTTTATGGGCAGTGGGAGGGTGGGACAGTGTCTGTCTGCATTAGGCACAATATACAGCATTGCTGGCATGCTGCACGTGGGGACTGGTGTATTTTATGCACTAAATTCTCATTAGTCAAACTGGAATAGAGTTTTGTGCTGACTGGTTGGAGTTACAGCTCCAAAAGCTTCATCAAATATCTCTGTGCAGTATGTAATCTCTTCATTACAGAGTACTTTTTGATTGAAAACATATTATAAATTTATTTGAAGCAAGGTATGCATAGCTAGCGGATAAACATATCATTAAAGGGACACTGTAGGCACCCAGACCACTTCAGCTCATTGAAGTGGTCTGGCTATAGTGTCTCTATTGTCCTTAATGCTGCAATGTTAGAAAAACTGTAATGTTTTTTTCATTGCAGCACTGTCTGCCCTCAATGGCTGTCTCACAGACTGCCACTAGAGGGCTTCCTGATTTGAAATAGACCTTTGGTCCGGTATCTGACACTGGACCTGCTCACGCTCTGCATGAGGCCCTCCAGTGTCAGATTTTTCCCCAAAGGAAAGTGTGGCGGACCGCCTGGCACCCCGGCTGGGTGTCTCCGCCAATTAATGCTTCCTAGTAACACAGAGTACTTTTAAGCACTCCACTAAACACCATAACCACTGTAAACCCCACAGCCAGGGTTACAGCTTGGTTGGGGTCTCGCCCTCCTCCACCCACCCTGGACCGAAGGCCAGGATCCAGCTTCCAATGGGTAGACCTCTCCTAGTGTAAAGCAGGCTGCTCTTACAAGAGCTAGTGTTGTAATCCAAGGGAGTATAGTGATTATAGTAATCCCCAGAGTAAATAAAGCGGTCCCCTCCACTTGAGATGAGGCTCTATGTTGAGGGTGGAGAGGCAGTCACAACTGGATTTATATGCATGTCCCCATGCAAGTGGTTTCTATTATGTATTCCAGGGGCATTCCCCACTGGAAGTGAGAGGGGACTATGACAAAGTACACACTTTACTTACATTGGCTCTCAGGTTCAGGACACTTCCACACAAAACAGGGTAATCCCTCCCCTGTGCCTGAGAGATAGTGTAGTCAGGAACTGTACTAAACTCCATTATCTCCAGGTACAGAAAACATACATTTTAACAACCTCACAAAAGTACCCTCAAAACACATGGAAACGACACAAAAGTCACATCCCCTGATAGCCCCATCTGGGAGACCTACATATCAAAAAATCATCCAGATCGGTTCGGGATTTCCATGGAGGTCATAATTTGACCGACTGCACACGAGGCTCCTGCCCAAAAGAGTTCCAGGAAATCAGGCTGTGCAGTCGGTCTCTTTCGGGAGTTCACAATAATACAATATATATATGAATGAAACTGTTTGTACGTGCTCTTAATCTGTGTCCCTCGTTCGGGAGCTTGTTCCTACCGAACGCCGCTCTTCTCATGTGAATCCAGCCGAAAGTACAAAGAAATGGAAGTCCCAGCGGTGTTGGCGCCGTCGAGTGTCAGATTATAGTTCCATGCAGTCGACGACCAAACACCACTGTACGTGTTCGCGGCTAAAGATGGACGCTGCCACGTATTCGCACATACGAATGACTACCACCCAGCTGACCGCTTAAAATGTTGCGATTAACGTGTTGATAGGGCTCAAAAGAGTCAACAAGCAGCATACGACTGTTCGGTAGTTCATTCAGTATACGAACCTAATAAGCATGATCTGTTCAGTGAACCCATATACAGAACCAGCTAAATCAAAAGGCACGAACAGAGCCTTTTTAAAGTACATTGGCCAAGGTCCATCACAGTGGCCATAGTCCTGAGGCAAGAGGCTGGCCAGCAGGCCCCTCCAAGAGTACATGGCAGAGGCATTTCTGCAACAGAAAGCATTGATTCAGTGCTTTCCTATGGGGGGGTCTAAAACGGCATTTGCCATGCATACACATTAGAGCCTGCTTGTTGCGGGACCCAGCGCCGAGGGACATCAGTGCTCGGATCCGTAAGTAAAGGGTTTTTAACCCTTTATTCACTGGGGAGGGGAGCACGCAAGGGAGGGGGGAGGCAGGGGCAGCGATAGCGGCTAGTGGTATCTCTTTAAACAGCAGTCTGTATATAGATTGCTTTGCAGACAAACTTAACAATTTTAATTATGTAAGTTTATACAATATTTATTTTAACTTATTTATAACCTTTTATAAACAATATTTGGGAATTGAAAAGTTCTAAACAATATACAGTGTCCTTTATCTTGGAATATTTCACACTGGTTCTGAAATGTTAGTATAAATGCAAAAAATATTTTTCTCACCTACAGTAGTTGTGACAAATATATAAATTTAAAAAATGGTCAAAAGCCTCGCTTATCAGTATATGCAAGGACCCTGAAGGCATTACTAGCTGTACAGCTTACTACAAATGGCAACAGAATTCAAAAAGGTCTCCATCTGAACATAATGCCCACATACAGTAAATACAGCTATAGGACCACTATAGGCACCCAGACCACTTCAGCTCAATGAAGTGGTCTAAGTGCCAGGTCCCTCTAGTGTTAACCCTGCAGCTGTTAAAACTGCTATGTTTACAATAGAGTTAATCCAGCCTCTAGTGGCTGCTGTCTCATTGACAGCCGCTAGAGGCGCTTCCGCGCTTCTCACTGTGAAAATCACAGTGAGAAGACTCTGGACGTCCATAGAAAGCATTGAGAAATGCTTTCCTATGGACTGATTGAATGTGCGCTGACGTCTGAAGAGGGAGGAAAGTTCCCCGGCGATGAGGTAGCCCGGCGCTGGAGAAAGGTAAGAGTTTAACCCCTTCCTCCCCCCTTCAGCCCGGCGATAGTGGGACTCTGATGGTGGGGGGACCTAAAGACCCTATAGTGCCAGGAAAACGAGTTTGTTTTCCTGGCACTATAGTGGTCCTTTAAATCATGTATTCCTAAAATAAAGGTATTTGAAACTGTTTTAACAATTTTTTTTATCAATCTGTGGACTGCTAATGTAATGGTAGAGTCCAATCACTCCTCCCCATCTGCCTGGCTGTAGGAATGCTATCACCCAGTGAAACTTCCTGTACAGTTTGGAAGGAGGGGGTGAGCTGACATTTTTGTAACTTTACATTCATTATATCAGTGAGTAGTGGCTTCTGGCAGAGAAATGCATTCCTCTACAGGCTGGTAATCATAGCTAGAGTATACATGAGGGTGATTGAGGCTTTATAGACTAGATTTCATACTACAAAACAGATTTAAAAAAAAAGTTATACTCAATTCTGGTATTGGAGTTAAAGCTAAAATACTACATATAAAGAATCCATGATGCAACCCTTTTTTTAACTTTTGGTCAACTGATCTTTTTGGGAAATGGCTCGCTTTTATTTTTATTTTTTTTAAATGTATGTATTTGTATTCTTTTTAGAACACTGGAAAGAAAAAAGGTGCCTTTTTAAATTCCGTTTAGTTCAGTGATTACCATTTATGTCATGTTTCCAGCACGATGTAGCTGTACATTCTGTTGGCATTGTCTTGTCTCATTGTTTTCCAGGCTTTATCCCATAAGACGCTAGTGATGCTTCTTGGAGTAGATCCTGCTCTTGAGAGTGACATGCCAATCCCTGTGTCGCATCCACAGGTCACATATGCATACATGAAGTATATGTGGAAGAGCACCCGAAAGGTACTTGACAATGCTTTCATAACCTTCCGCATGTGTAGAGTGAAAGCCGCACCAGCTCCCCAAATCCCTGCTTGCTTTCTGGGAATAAAGCCACAATGTAGCCGGTCAAATGTTCAGACGCTGGAATGGGAATAGCAGATATATGTGCTGCAATTAGATTATAGCAGGAGAAAGAAATCCATGTGGCCTCTTTCTAATCAAAATTCTTCTTTTGGATTTCTTTGTAATTAATAGAAATCATCTGACATTTATTTTACATCAATCCATTTAAAATGCGAATCCATCCAGAATTCTATATTTTCTATTGGTAATTTAATGTTAAATTTTCTATATCTTGGGAAAATGAAAATGACTGTTTTTCTAGTGTCAAAATGGCCATCTTGTAATTGCTTCACAGCCTTTAAGTGTTTACAGAAGGATTAGAAATAAGCTGCAGGCACAAAATGCTGCCAGCAGTGTCTCAGAACCTTGGATGTCCAAAGTTGAGCCGTCTAGCTCGCAGCATTCCACAGAGCAGGGAACAGAAAGTGATGTGTATGATCCCTATCTTTTCAGAATTAATCTGAAGGTTAGTAAAAAAAAAAAAGGTGTCTGCATTTGTTAAATTGCTGTGTAAATGAAACATCTGATGACAGAGTCAAAATGTTTAAAACAATCCTGAGACCTGCCAGGAAGCCTTTAGTATATCGGGGCCAGATCTCCGTGTGATATTCAGATATACTTTCCATCAACTGCTACGTTTATTCATTCAATTCATCAATTCAGAATACAAAATAAAAGGCTTCCAAAAACTTGTATCCAGTCAGTCACATGACAGGAGAGATTCAGATGGATATAAAGGTTAAAAAATAACTCCACTTCTGCAGTACGATTTCCCTCCAGTGTCGGTTTTTGATGTCACTGGATTAAGATAATAATATTTTTGTTTATAAGCAGGATATAAGACTAAACCTTTACCCACTTGTTAGGTTACAGGTGAGTCCTAGAGACCCATTCCATGCACAATGTGGCATTAATCTCAGATTCTCGCCTTTGTATTGCGCTTATTGCTTTTCAAAAATCTGGCTTGTTAAAGTTGACTGTCGCTTATTAGAAATTAGAAAAAAAAAACAGATTGCCAATGTTGTTTCTCTGTAACTTGCATAATGTTTCCCAGCATGCTCCTTTCCTTATTGGCTGCTTGCATTCATGAGCTGTTTGTAAAAGGTTTCTTTCAAATGGTGCACAAATAAGGTGGGGTGTATTTGCCTACAGTGTAGTGTGCACACTACACTCTTTTGTTAATGTTTGTGATTTGGGGTTTATTGCTTTTGTTTTCGTTCTGTCTATGCAGTGACCAGTTTCTGGTCCCCTTCCTTGTCATTTTAATTTCTTCTTTGTCCATTTGAATTTCTCTTTATGATCTCTCCAACATGCCCCTCGTGCAACGCAGATTGAGGCTTTCCAGAATATGCAAAAGTTTGTGAATAAGGTGCAAGTGCAAGCACAACATGTCGCAGACGACACTCCACAGAAACAAGAACTACAGAAACTCATGGCTCGGTAAGCCGCCCCCTGACGTTTGGTCTGTTATGGCTTGAAATGACAGTTACCCCAGTATTGGTCTTAAACAGGTCCGATCCGTTTATGTGTAATTCTTATTTTTATTATAGTGTTATACTTTGGAATGTGGCTCTTGTTGTTCCTGAAGATTTTTTTTTTTTTTTATATATATAAATCTAGAAGTTATGTGCATGCAAAAATAAAATCCTGTCTGTTAAAGTGTTCTCCGTACAATGTTGATGTACTTTTTCTAGCCCCTTCATTGAAAGGAGTTGGGCAACTCCCATAATATTGCGGCAGACCTGACACTTTGTTGTAAAGGGGTTACGTGCGGCTTTATTATGTATTCATTTGAAGGTGACAGTTTAGAAACAACACTATTATTTTGTTCCCTAAAATGTTACTTTTTTTTTTAATTTCTTGTATTTCCATTAATTATTTTGAAAGAACCCCAAATGCATATTTCTATTATAGTCCTGCTAATCCCATCTTTTTCCATAGGTGCTTTTTGAAACTGGGTGAATGGCAAGTAAACCTTCAAGGAGTTAATGAATGTACAATCCCGGATGTGCTGGAGTATTACAATGCAGCCACTGAACATGATTCCAACTGGTACAAGGTGAATTTTACTGTGTGACTGCTGGGGGGATGGGTGGGCCCTTTTCCTCAGCCATTAGTTTGCGTGACTGAACATAATTTGTGCTTCAATCAAAATACACTCTGAAATGAAAATGATCTAATCACTTTTCAAATTCAAAAGCACTGATGCAGTTAAGAAAGGAATCTTTGTTTAAAAAAGAAAAAGAAACCCACTGTATGTAGCTGACCAATGCAAGAAAATGAAATCACTTATGATTCTATTTATTTTGATTTATTTTATCACTGTTTCTTTAGTTCATATAACAACAATTGGCTTCTTTGAATCTTGCTTTCTGATGTAGTGAATAATTCTCACAAACTAATGGCTAGTCATCTCTCATAGCGTAAATCACCAAAACCAACCAAACAGTCCGCACTCATAAGGATCTCAGAATTATCGACCAAGCAGATCATGGAAAGTGCTATTTTTTTTTTTTTTTTTTTTTTATTGTAGAAGAATCGTGTGGATCTCATAAGTGACGGGCAATCCAAAATCTTGAAGCACATGTCAATATATGCAGATTCTATCTCCCTCAAGGGAGTCAGAGGTTAAAAAAATGCCTAAATACAAAAAAGGAAAAACCTGCACCTGCCAGAAAAGGGGGTTAACAAAAATATGAAAAAACTTACTGTAACTCTGGACACATTTTGCATCTGTCCTGCCTCATTTTGTCAATGTTCATTCAGCTAGAAATTATTCTCATTTGCAAGTGCATTAGTTATTAGAAATTTGGTTATTTTAGAAAGAGTTGCTAATTCTTGCTCTGTTGCAGGCTTGGCATGCTTTGGCAGTGATGAACTTTGAGGCAGTTCTACATTTTAAGCAGCAGAAAGAAATCCGAGATGAGAAAAAGGTGCGACATCACAGCTCTGCCAGCGCCAATACAGATGGGAGCGAGAGTGAGAGTGAAGGAGACAGTAACGCGAGCAGCCCAGTGCCATCTCCTGTTCAGAAGAAAACGGAGGTATGGAACTCGCGAGTAAGATGTCAACGGTTGGCATGATTCTAGTTCCAGCATGTTTAACAATCTTTATTCAGCAAGAATATATCATTGTGCGTGCATCTGCAATTTACAGCAGCAAACACAGAAGCAGCATGTATTGCCATGATTAGTTTTTTCAGAAAAAGTTTGTTTTAGCAATTGACTCCCCCTTGCATCAGTACATTACGATCCCACAAAGGTGCAGATTGCTTTACAAATTGCTTATCCTGAGTTTTGCTGGGTAATGCTAAAATGGTGGTTGGTCCTTCATATTGATAAAATGAGCAATTCCATGGCCGCTGCCCCATGTTAAATATTTCTTATAATAATTTCTTCTGTAACCCTATTTCTTTTTAAGCATGTTCCCACATGTCGTGAAATAGTTTCAAATTTTCAGTTTGCATTGAATTGTAAATTCCCAACTTATTATTCCCAACTTTATTGTTTTAAAGACACTAAAAGTTTTTACTTTTATGTTCTGTTGATATAAGAGTACATTTACAAAAGTTGAAATATAAACGGTACCAGGCAAAAAATAGAGATCTCTCTGAAAGCTAGGTTTATTTGGCATCCGCCCATGTTTCACATTGTATAACTTTTCTTTAAAAGATTTGATGTGGAGACATGTTAGCATGTTCAAAACATAATGGAATAGCCTGCCTACCGCCATCAGACTCTCCGCTAGTCTTGCATCTTTTAATAAGTGCCTTTAAACCCATCTCTTTAGGAAAGCTTATGGCCTCCCAGTGTAACCTCTACCTTACATACTTGTCTCTTGCTCTCTCCTCCAGCTCTGCTTCACTCCCACCTTACTTGTTTGCTTTTTCCTGTCCTAATGTGTTTTATGCCCCACCTCCTATAGACTGTAAGCAGGGTCCTCTTCAACCTATTGTTCCTGTAAGTTTTCTTGTAATTGTCCTATTTATAGTTAAATCCCCCTTCTCATAATATTGTAAAGCGCTGCTCACTGCAATAACCTGACCATCCCATCTTAACTCACTGTCATAATCTGGCAGTGACAGCCTAATTCACTGTAATAACCTAACCGGGCCAGTCTAACTCATTGTAATAACCTGACCAGCCTAACTCGCTGGGATAACCTGACCAGCCTAACTCGCTGGGATAACCTGACCAGCCTAACTCGCTGGGATAACCTGACCAGCCTAGCTCGCTGGGATAACCTGACCAGCCTAGCTCGCTGGGATAACCTGACCAGCCTAGCTCGCTGGGATAACCTGACCAGCCTAGCTCGCTGGGATAACCTGACCAGCCTAGCTCGCTGTGTGTAATGGGTTGATCTAAATCGGTATAATGACCTACTTAATACAATAACCTTGCTGGCACACTTCTAACTCGTAATCCAAACATCAACTAAAGAAGCCATAAATTAAAATGGTGCACAGTGCCACTGAGTAATAAATGCCACATATACATATTTCAGTGCATGTGTGCAGTTTTTTTTAATGTTTTGGGTAGCTAGCCACCATGCTGTGAAGACGGGATGGTTTAACCCCATGCTTTGATAGGCATTCTATGGCAAACTCACCAGAAATACAGCTGACTAGTTGCAATTATGATGGAGCTACTTTCCTCCAATCCATGCTTTAATAGCCAAACTGGGCAAGCTAGCCATAAAATTCCTAACAAGCCAAAGTACTGACAGAATGGCCAATACCAGAACTATTACATACTTGCGTAAAACAGAACTCACACTCTGTTACTAGCAAAAAGGCGACTTAGAGCTGAAAATTGTCAATATTTTTAAATAACTTTCAAATTTTAGACCACTTATTCACTTGCATAAAATAAAAATGTTGAGAAAGTGATCCCATTGTACAGCTGTATGGAATTTTGTTGGTGCTATATAAATAATAAAAAAAAGATAATATGAATTTGGATGTCCCTTGTTAATTTGTGTAAATTTAGTAACTTTTTTTTTTTTTTTTTTAAACAGGACAACCTTCTGCAATACACGGTTCCAGCCGTGCAAGGCTTCTTCCGTTCCATCTCGCTATCTCGAGGAAATAACCTGCAGGACACACTTAGGTAAACCTTTCTCTGTGTACGATATGCAGCTTATACTTGTAGAGCTGGGAGTCAGATGGTGTGCTTGGCCACATCAGGCACTGTGTTGCCGCCACAATTTCCTCTTGGGTAGCATTTTGTTTTCCCATGGAGCTTCAGGAGCGACAGATAAGGACACAACCATTTCCTGGATAAAGTAGAGGATATGAGAGATGTTTAGGGCCAAGTAAAAATTACTCCTCGAGCTGTGTGATCCCTGTCCTGTGTAATATTTAGATTTTTCTTTTTTTCAAAGCAATAAATCTTAACATCATAAATCATGTTGGGTTATACATATGTAGAAAGCACAACATGAAAAATTTCCCTTGTTTCCTTGTTTTGTTTGTAAAATGTACTGTCTTGTGTTAAAAAACTTTTATTTTTTTATTAATTTTTTTTTAAATGTGCACGTTTCATAAAGAATATAATTTGGAAAATATATATTTAGGCAGATTATGCATAAAAAAATTAATCTGAAAACACAGGCCTAATTTGTGAGCATAACAAACTTGGAAAAAGTGTGTGAAAGTGAGTTATATATCTGTGAACTATAAAATTTAAATAGCTGTTCATCACTATGAAGTAAATACGAAATTTAAATTGCAAATCGAAACTTCTGCAAATTAAACCATAGCTGTGATTATTTATATATACATACATACACACACAGACACACTCTCTCTCTCTCTCTCTCACACTCACTCTCACAGTCTAATATATTCGACACTTCACAATCTGTATCTGACAGCTCCTGTCTTTACTTTGTTTAAATTTAGCTGGGAAGCACCCGGGAACAGTTTACTTTATTATTTGTGTTGGGGTTGAGTGCCAGAACCTGGAAATTTCTATATATTATATTGTATTATTACTAGATTGTTTATAAATAGCCATAACTTCTACAGCGCTATACCCTGTTTGAAATGCTACAGTGAGTGAGCTGAAATTAATGGTTTGTCACTGTTTGGCTATAGTTAATTAGAAGTCCTGATGTTCTAATTTTATTTTTTATTTTTAATTTTCTATAGAGTACTCACTCTTTGGTTTGACTATGGTCACTGGCCGGATGTCAATGACGCTCTGGTTGAAGGAATCAAGACCATTCAGATTGACACATGGCTACAGGTATTGTGAGGCCTATAGCTTCAGGATCGCTAAAGAATTGAATATAAAACCACAGTGATATTGTAACTAGTATTTTGTTGCAAGTGTTTCTATTACAGATAAGGGTTTCCATAATAGTAGCACTGTCTAATACCTCGGTAAATGGAATGGAGACCAGGTTGTAGCCTTAGTTTTACGCGTATGTGGGGTAAAATGTGGATGGCAAACTTTTTCACCCAAATATTTGGAAACATCATTACCCATGGTACTCAGACAGCCTTCCTTGTGTAGAACATTAAAGGACCACTCTAGGCACCCAGACCACTTCAGCTTAATGAAGTGGTCTGGGTGCCTGGTCCAGCTAGGGTTAACCCATTTTTTCATAAACATAGCAGTTTCAGAGAAACATTCAGAGAAACTGCTATGTTTATGAATGGGTTAAGCCTTCCCCCTAATCCTCTAGTGGCTGTCTCATTGACAGCCACTAGAGGCGCTTGCGTGCTTCTCACTGTGATTTTCACAGTGAGAGCATGCCAGCGTTCATAGGAAAGTATTATGAATGCTTGCGCATTCAGCCGACGGGGAGGAACGGAGGAGGATCGGAGGCAGAGAGCTCCCTGTCCAGCGCTGGAAAATGGTAAGTTTTACCCCTTTTCCCCTTTCCAGAGCCGGGCGGGAGGGGGACCCTGAGGGTGGGGGCACCCTCAGGGCACTATAGTGCCAGGAAAACGAGTATGTTTTCCTGGCACTATAGTGGTCCTTTAATAAAATGGTTATTTTGTGGATAAAATCATTAAATATCACTTTTGTAACTTATGGACCTTTACAGAAGCTGTAAGAAAGTGTTCATCACTTTGTGGTTATGCAGTTTGCCCCTCTCACTCTCACCCCCATGACATCTTTCTGCTGCCAAACACGTGTTACTTGTAGGGTCAAAATACCACAAGACTTACTTGTCCATGTGTATAGTAAGCAGTGACACTAAATTCCTTCTTGTAAAACAGTGTTTCATGTTTAATTAACCTTGAATATTGATATATCTTCTTGTAAGTGTGTGTAGTGTTTCTTTAAATCATAACTGTCTCTATACTGTATACCATGACGGTTCCTCAATTCTTCGTCCCGGCGAGTATAAAAACATAATTACCTTTGCAGTGTTTTTGTGCCCTAATAAACATCATCGTTCCATGACACTCATGTGTACTTGGGCAATCAGCCAAAAAATGCACAGCAATTGCATGCTCACTCGGGCATTCCTTCTGAAATGCTGTGTGCACCCATGACACTGAAGGCAAAATAATTAGCGTGGTTTGTTCTGGGTGTGCTATTCTTAAGTTGTAATTTTGAAAATAAAACTGGTTCAGAATGTTTTAACCCCTCAATAAATGTTATACTTTGTCATCATTACAATCTGATTCTAAAAGATTTGATGGGAACATGGAATAAATAGTTGTATTAATACAGCCCTTCAGTCATATAATGAGTCATTTAATGCATTTTAGAACAAAGCTCTCAAAGAATGAATTGTTATGAAAGCATTCATTGTCAAGATTACATTCATTTTGCTGTTAAATCTGAGCTGATTGTTTTATTTTTATGCTTGCTTAGGTGATCCCTCAGCTGATCGCCAGAATAGACACTCCGAGGCCTCTTGTTGGGCGTCTTATCCACCAACTGCTAACAGACATTGGCAGATATCACCCTCAGGTAACTTCCATCCATAAACATGGTTAGCACAATTTGCACAAAACGTATTTTCTGCCTGTGGCTTGATCCCTGTTTATGAACTGGCATTTGTAAAACTTGTGGTTTCTCAGCAAAGCCTCAAGCTCCTGCCATGGTGTTCCAGCACCGCTTCCATAACTCGCTTCATGATAGCCTTACTAGGGTCTGTATGAAATGCAAATATTTACAAATCACACCATGTTCTTTAAATACTGGTTGTGGGTATTTAGTCTCCTGAATGCTCTATACCTGGAAATAAACTCACAGCTGTTATATTTTAGACGGCGCACTGCTTCGTTGCTGAAATTTGCAACATGCCCCAGACACCCCTACAGCGATTGTAATTTAAAGGAACACTATAGTGTTTCAACTCACCGTTTCTGCCACGCCATGCCTGTCTCGCCAGCTAGCTCCACCTCCTATAGGAAAGTATTGTGAGGCTATTGCACCTGCGCATATAATCAGCGTATCTCTATGGGGAATGTTCAGCACCTCCATGCACACTGTGCAGCATTGGATTAAGAAGCACCTCTAATGGCCGTCTGAGTGACTGCCACTAGAGGTGTTACTAACTAGCAATGAAAAGCAAGTGTTTACATTAGAAAGCCTGCAGGGACATTCTATAGACACCAGAATCACTACATTATGATGTAGTTGTTCTGGGGACTATAGTGTCCCTTTTAAATACAAAATTTATGCTGCCCTTTAACAATTTACTTTGTGACACCTCCAAGAATTTCCAGATGCTTGATGATAAAAAATTTTAAAACTCTTTTATTACCCTTATTCTCTATCCTGTTCTATTGTGGCTCCTCATTTTTTATTTTATTTTTTGTCTTTATTTTTCTTTGTTGTATTTGGGCACATTTATAACAATTTTCTGACACCATGTGTAGTACTTGGAATTCTCATAGCACTAACAAGCTATCACTGTCTTCTCTAAGACTTCTCCCCTGTCAAATACCTGCCAGCCTGCTCTGCCCTCTCAGTCATTATTCCAATCTTCCAAACAACTTGTCTTTGTGAGTGGAAAAGGCCTCAGGGGATGGAAAAATACCTTTCACTGTCAAATGGTGTCAGCCAGAGAAATGTTCTAATACCTCCCGACATTTCGCAATAGGGAGGGAGAGATTCTGCAGGTGCCGAATGGATAGGACTATACTCCTCATCCTCTAGGAAGCAAAAATGCTATGGGGGTGTGGATTTAACTGTTAGTGTGCCACCGTTGGCTCTGCAGGACAACAGTGACTAGTGAGCAAGATTTGATGTTAGCTATTCCCAATGCATTGTGCTGTTTGTCCTTTACACATTGTGTATTTTACAGTAATAGAGCATGGAAACTGACTTGCAATTGTTCCTAAATACCAAAGTTGTTTTTCTTTCCTGTATTGATAACATCTTAACATGGCAAAACTGGGATAATATGACCATCTGGCAGTCTTGCCGCAGCTGATCAAGCAGAGCTGTTTGGAAGCCACCACCATGGTACATGGTAGCCTCCACTCTAGTAGTGGGCAGTCAGTCTGCAAACATTAAGAATGTTTTGTGATCTGCTCAAGTCACACAGCAAAGCCACCAACAGTTCAATCTCTGGAAGCTTGAGGGCCTCTATCACGTCCATGTTTATTTAATAAAATCTTCTTTCTTGTCCTGAGGATGTGTAGAAACTACAGTCTATAGGTAGATAAAACGAAGGTATTCAGACCCGAAGCACCAGAAAATGTAGAGCGCTCAAGCACACATTGGGCAGAGAAATGGCGATTAAAAAAGTGGCCTTTCCAATGGGGGCTTTTTATTTCCTTGCGGTGTGTGTGTGTGTGTGTGTGTGTGTGTATGTATATATATATATATATATAATATATATATATATATATATATATATATATATATATATATATATATATATACATATATACATACTAAGACTGTACAAACTATTAAACTATTTGACAGAGCATGAAACTGTTTTTTTTGTTTTGTTTTTTTTTCAGAAGTTTACCTGTGTGTCATGGATAAATAGTAATTGTAATTGACAAAGTATTGGATAGCTATTGAGAATACATACACACTAGCATGCCACAAGGCATTCTCTACCGCTCCAGTAACAGATTCCCATCAATAACTCCATCATCCCTAATAATCAGTTGTGGAAAGTTGAGATAGGCGCTAAATATATGAAAATGCATTAGCAAGGAGAGCCCAGCTAGTGTTGTGGTGAGAGGTCCTCTATAAGTGGAGTCAGAGGTGAAAATAAGGGCAAGGAGCACGATTCGTCTAATTTCAGCAGAATCTGTTGAAATCTCCAATTTGTTTTTGTCAGAAGGACGAATAGAGCAATGTGGTCAAGGTCAGGTTACGTGCGGTTAACCCAAGGAGTAGCCAGACTGGAATCTCCTTTCATTGGTCTTTGCGGAGGCACATCACTGATGGAATTTACAATGAAATTGGATCCCGTCCTTGACGGGCTGCATATGTTGCAGGAATGAAGTGTTTATTCCTAAATGAAGCGCTGTGGCTAGAAAAGCCCAAAATGAGAATCTGTTTTACTTTATGAAGACTTTCTAAAAATTGTATTGCTGTCATTGGTCATCATGATGGAATTACCTGTATTCCCCGTGACATTGCAAAGACACTCTGCTTTAACACACACAACTTTTATCCCAGTGCATGGGTTATAATCTAAATGGACTAGTACCATGTATTCGCATAAAAGATTGATATGCAAGTTATGTGCACCAATAAAGTTCTGTAATTGTGTGCGCTCAGTGCTTGCGTGTGTGCGCTCAGTGCTTGCGTGTGTGCGCTCAGTGCTTGCGTGTGTGCGCTCAGTGCATGTACTTCATTCATAAAGCGATATTGGCACCTACATGTTTGTGGCAGTGATATGGCTGGTGTGCTGGAGAGCACTATCTGTAGCAGGGATTTTCTACACTAAATGTCAATCAGTTCTACACTTATGTGCCAAAGTATTGAATAACAGGTGAGGAGGAGACCTATTTTAAATAGTTATTTTTCTCTCTCAATCTCTACATTGGCTTGCAATTCTGCAAACGCAATGTGTGGATGAAAATTTTATTTACTATTAAATAAAAGCATGTGTGCCATGACAGGTAGACTTTTTTAATAACTCTATAGTGGGATTTGCTGCTGGCCACTTGAAAGGTTTAAATTAGTAAAATAAATAAATACATTTAGAAAGTAAGGAGAACTGTTCATTTTTTCCTCATAGATGTTTTTTGTTTTGTTTTGTTTTTTGGAAGATTAAAAAAAAAAAAAAAAAAATGACCAGAGTTCAAATGTCATTGTTCCCATTGCTTTATGTCTCTTTGGTAATAGTAAGGATAGATTGCTTGAACCTTACCCTAAAGAAGAGAGAAAAACCACAACGGACGAGGTTTTAAATATTTATGTAAATTGATGTTTCCTTTGCTTTCTCTTATGTCTCCCACAGGCTCTAATATATCCTCTCACTGTGGCATCTAAATCCACAACCACAGCACGTCACAATGCAGCAAACAAAATCTTAAAGAACATGTGTGAGCATAGCAACACTCTAGTACAGCAGGCGGTGATGGTAAGTCTCCGGCTAAAGCGCTGGACAGTAAATGAAGCCAATGTTTAGGTCACATATGACGGTGCTTGTTTTTTATTGGTTGTAGGTGAGTGAGGAATTGATCCGCGTGGCCATTCTGTGGCATGAAATGTGGCATGAAGGTCTGGAAGAAGCCTCACGGCTGTACTTTGGAGAAAGGAACGTAAAGGGAATGTTTGCTGTGTTAGACCCTCTTCACGCCATGATGGAAAGAGGACCTCAAACTCTAAAGGAAACCTCATTTAATCAGGTATAAAGCCATGGTGGGATTTAGTGACTCGTGTCCTGTCCTGTTAGACTTGTGGTATTTATGGTAGACCTTGGTATATGTGTCTGGCCTTTTTTGAACTTTGTCTGTTTAATTGTTTTGTATATAATTGTATGGTTGTATTGAGTAATAAAGTATTTATTTTATGTAGCTATCTGAGTGTGTATCATGATTTTTGTATGAGTCATTCTTTTCTCATGTAGGCATATGGCCGAGACTTGATGGAAGCTCAGGACTGGTGTAGAAAATATATGAAGTCTGGTAACGTGAAGGACTTGACCCAAGCTTGGGATCTTTATTATCACGTCTTCCGACGCATCTCCAAACAGCTACCCCAGGTGATAGGAAAGAATTGAATGTTGCAATGTCTTTACAACAAAATTATCTTTTGCCATAGTCTTTCTAACCCCCTTGAGTCTGTGTATTACAGCTCACCTCTCTGGAGCTACAATATGTCTCCCCCAAACTGCTCATGTGTCGAGACCTGGAGCTTGCTGTGCCAGGAACATATGATCCCAATCAACCAGTTATACGTATCCAGTCCATTACCCCTTCTCTGCAGGTCATCACTTCCAAGCAGAGGCCTCGCAAACTGACGTTAATGGGTGTGTTTTTGTTTTATTTATTTTATGACGCGTTTTGGCAAAAGTGAAACAGTGCCTTGTAAATCTGAACAGAAACTGGGGAAATACATTCAGTATTATTGCCTCCAAATTAAAAACCTATCCTAATTACCTTGACAGGAAGTAACGGACATGAGTTCATGTTCCTGCTGAAAGGCCACGAGGATCTGCGGCAGGATGAGCGGGTAATGCAGTTGTTTGGATTGGTAAACACTCTGCTAGCCAATGACCCAGCTTCTCTGAGGAAAAACCTCAGGTAAATAACAATTACATTGCTGTTTATTTTTATTGTGAATTTGAAATTGGTAAAAAAAAAAAAAAAATGTGAATTTATAAAATAGCTACAATAATATTGAGAGGCTGTTATTTTGTTTATTTCTTGGGTTTTAAATCGTATATAAATGCTTAATATTGTCTCCACAATACAATCACAAAATAGCAGCTACAAGAGGGTTGCAGGCTCTTTGAGACACAGACCCAGATTTGTGTTTATTCCTAAAATGCAGACCCTAAATGTATTGTAAAAGAAACAGTATCCCAGACATACATTGTATTTCACATCAGAAAAATAAGGAGATGAGGAAAAATACTCATCCGCCAAAAGAGGAGGCTAGTTCCATCAAAACCAATACCCCCTTTATTTTTATTTTTTTTGAGCAGTACAAATGTAGAGCTGCAGAGAAATATATAACGAGAAAAAATAAAATTTTATTTAAGATAAAAAATGTGGAAAAAAAACCTTATCGAAACCTATCTAACTATTAATTTTTATACAGCTTAGCAGTCCAGTGCTATGTATATAGATAGGTTTTGATAAGGTTTCTTCACATTTGTTATCTTAAAATTTTATTATATTTTCTCTTGTTATATATTTCTCTGCAGCTCTACATTTGTACTGCCCAAAAAGAAGGGGGTATTGGTTTTGATGGAACTAGCCTCCTCTTTTGGTGGAGGAGTATTTTTCTGTTTTGTCTACAATTTAGGGTTAGGCCCTGTAATACCCCTGTAACCCTCTCTGGTACCTCTTTGCCAGGGATTTCCTGGTTAAGAGTGCTCAGTATATTCTGTATTTCACATCACCCCTTCACCATAGTAAGTTACAAAATGAAGTATATTTGGTACAGGATCATTTTCCTGGTTGCACAGTAATGTATGTTTTAATGTGTGACGTAAATATATCAATATTCAGTGTAATCGGTAGTGCTTATAATGTGTCAATTGAGAAGTAGAAATGTTAAATGTTGTCAGAGCAATAATGTCTTCCTTATCTTATTAACTTCACATTAGACAGTGTCATGAAATGTAGGGATTGTAAGTGTGTTTTACATTCCTTTTAGTATTCAGCGATATGCTGTCATTCCTCTGTCCACCAACTCTGGGCTGATTGGCTGGGTGCCTCACTGCGATACATTGCACGCACTGATTCGGGACTATCGTGAGAAGAAGAAAATTCTGCTGAATATTGAGCATCGGATAATGCTAAGGGTAATATACAGCTGATGAAATTGGTATTTTGCTGAGCTTATTTAAAGACAGTCAAACAAGCCTAATGCCGACCTCTCTCACAGATGGCACCAGACTATGATCACCTGACTCTGATGCAGAAAGTCGAGGTGTTTGAGCACGCTGTGAACAACACTGCTGGAGATGACTTGGCTAAACTACTCTGGCTAAAAAGCCCAAGCTCAGAGGTAAAGCAGCCATTATTATCTGGAACCTCTTTTAGTGTATGAAACCACAAACCGTGAAATTAGGAACACTAGAGTGTTAGGAATATAAAGCAGTAATTCCTAACTCCCTCTGTCTGGTGGACAGCCACTAGAGGCATTGCTTAGCACTGCAATATAAACATAGCATTTCTCTGAAACTACAATGGTTTACATTGCAGGGCCAAGGAGACAGGGACACTGCATCCAGACCCCTTCAATGAGATCAAATGGTCCCTTTGCTCTCCATGTAAAAAACTCATTACAGTCACCCTAGGACAGACTTCCTTATATGAAATAATGTGTAAACTTTGTGTATTATTAAAGAGTCTGTTATTTTGACCTTTTTTTCGTGTCTGGCAATTAGTCTATTTCGAGATGCATTATTCCTTCTTCCCAAAACAAATCCAGTCTGTTTTATTTCCTGGATATCTGCAACAAGAATGTGTGGTCACGTGACTGTTTAAATGTAATAAAAAAACCAAAAACTTTAAATGTATTTCCTTCCCAGGTGTGGTTTGACAGAAGAACCAATTACACGCGTTCCCTGGCAGTAATGTCCATGGTGGGATATATTTTGGGTCTCGGTGACAGGTAGGGCACAGATTTGTTCTAAGATTTTTCCATTTCTGTATGTAGAGTAATTCTAGAGAAAAGTTCTAGTTTGGTTATAATGGTGGTGGGTCTAATTTTTTACTCTTCATACATGAACCCCAAATTACATCTGGGCTAAGGGTTTGCTCAAGCAGTTTTTTTTTTTTTGTTTGTTTTTTTTGTAGACATTTCTAATCTCACTCTCCCCCTTTTTTTTATTTCCCACAAAGACACCCGTCTAACTTGATGCTGGACAGGCTGAGCGGGAAAATCCTACACATAGACTTTGGAGACTGTTTTGAGGTAATAATTGACTGAGAGGTTCTGAAGATTATTTGTCATAATTGTTCTTCTGAAAATAGTAGTGTTTTTGTATGTGTGTACATTTTAAGGAGGAAATGTTTTTTGCACCTTTTCAGAACCATATAAAATCTGGTAATGCAGTGATCAGTTGTCATTTGAAGATATCGTGCTGATGTGTTGGGTGCCAGTATTGACCTGGTCATTATAGGCCATTTTCATGACTGAGCATTGCCAATGCGATAGTTCACACAGCTGGATGGTCAGAGATCAGCCATTGCTGCTTTACATCTCACACTTAAACCTCTTTGTACTCAACTCGCAATTTCTGATTTTCACATATTTGCAAACTACATATCCCATGATTCTTAGCATGCATTAAAACAGTTTGAACATAAACCGTAAATTGCTGATTTAGACGATAAATCAGGCAATCTGTGGCTATGCTTGCAGACCTGTGTTTTTTGTTTTGTTTTTGTATTTTTTTTGTCCGTTTTTGAGTGGTTTGACAATTTATGGAACCCTGCCCCCTCAGTTGGAGATGACACGATGAGGAAATCCCACGTCCTCATTATACAATTTAATCGTTTCAATTCCAAGCAACCACTGACTTTTTGGTGCTGCTATAGCTTGAGTTAACCCATGGTGTTTTGGCACAGCTTGCGTCGTCATCAGCATGCTTGATGGTATGACATAAAAAAATGGGACTGAATCGATAGTATTCAAACTACATATCAAGCTGCAACAATACTGTTAATTTTAGTGGTTATGGTGCTTTGATTGTGAACCGCTTATACAATTAATCTTCACTGCATGTGCCCTGCACAAGGATACTCTGCATCATACAGTTAGCCTGGAATCGGTAGTGCCCTCTGCAATCTTCCCCTTGGTGACCGTTTCTTGTATGAAACATAGACAGGGCTTAATCTAATTAGATATTTTCCGTTCCAACTGCTAGCATCACTTGTACGATTCCTTATCCAATGGGTGAAGTAGGTTCAAAATAAAGCAGATGCACATAACAAAAGAACAAAAAAGCTGAAAATGTTTTTTGTTTTTTTTTTTATTCCCCACTTTTTAACCAATGGTTATTGAAGCTTCATTGAATTAGTATAGTGTCTGGTTCCAAGGCACTGTCTTTCCATTAAGTGTTTTTAAACCATTTTCGAGCAGCCCCACTGAAAATATCCTTAGCCATAACGAGTCTTACCCACACTCGTCACCTGTGATAGGCTGAAAATGGTCAGCCGACACTCCCAACCAACCACATTTGCCCATTATTGATCAAGTTAATGCTTCCTCCCTATTAGCATGAGCACCTTGTTAAAGATGTCCTAAGCCCCCAATCCCCCCAAAATATCATGCTTTAATAATAAGAAGGCTTGAGGTGTGGTTTCATGCCACATCGGCTGGAATGCATTAAAGTTGGTGAATTACTTCCTAAGCTGCTAGTTCTTAATGTCAGTTCTGTCTGGTTATCTCAGTCAAATCCATTTTGTTACTTGTATTACTGTCAAAGTTATCAAGTCATATTTAGACTCTTGTTAATGTTAATTGTTTGCAATTATTTAAGTGTGTACATTAAGCATTCACTGAGGTGTTCCATTGTTTAATTGTACTTGCTATTTCAGGTGGCTATGACCAGAGAAAAGTTCCCCGAGAAGATTCCGTTCCGTCTGACTCGAATGTTGACTAATGCAATGGAGGTGAGTGGTCACTCACTGTGTGTGACTCTTTGTGAATGCTGCATGCGCAGATCTTTATATCTCTGGTCCGTTGTGTTCTCAGGTCACTGGACTTGATGGAAATTACAGGATCACGTGCCATACTGTAATGGAGGTGTTGCGGGAGCACAAGGATAGCGTCATGGCTGTCTTGGAAGCCTTTGTTTACGATCCTCTGCTGAACTGGAGACTGATGGACAGTGAGTATAGCAGCCAGATCCTGCCCAATAGTAGCACATGATAGTGACCTTGAGTAGATCAAGCACTGCGTTCCATTTACCGGTCAAACACACTGGAATCCATTCCAAAGTGCAGAAACAAACGCCGCCTTGGTATCTTATGGACAAAAGATGGCTGGCTGAAGGCAATGGGAACTTAAACACAATAGTAAAAGGCATCCAAATGGCCTTAGACTGGATTGCAGTGATTTACAGTGAATGAGTTGGCCCACGTAGTGTAATCAGAAATTAGATCTCCATCCACTCATTGAGTTGAATAATTCACTTTATAATCCTTTTAAAGGTTACAATTTGTACATGAAACCTTGTGTAGACTTGTGATGCTGTCCTAAGTGATGTAAGCAGTAGTCATATGGTAACTCACTGTTTAGTCAATAGTTCTCTCAATTAAGGCTCAATTTCCATGTTTTTATTGTTTATTACTTACAGCACATCTCTTTTTAATAAGAAATAATTAGGGATGTGTTTGTAGCGGAGCTGCAATATTAAATCCCAAGATCTCTGCTGGTATAGAAGGTAATCCAAAGTAAAGCGCTGGAAAAGAAGGCAATATCCCAAATCCCCCAGTAACCGGACGAAACACAGTTCAGGGAGTCAACGGACAATTTTATTCACGGCTCCAGGAGTCAACGGACAATTTTATTCACGGCTCCAGGAGTCAACTGACAATTTTATTCACGGCTGTTAGCCTATGCATGCTCTCTATTCTAAAACACATGAATACATTTTTACACCAGGTTAACACAGCTATTTCCGACAAACTTTAAATGTTCTGCAATATGACCTAAAGTGGCTAGGTTTGCCACAGTGTTTATTAACATTTCTGCCAATTTGCTAACTATTATAAAATGTAGTCCATATTCATTTTGAATTTAATTGCTAAACAGAGAATTGTGACGGATAACGGAATGTAAGCATTTTAGCTACTTTACTATTTTGGTGTTAATGTTGCCAATTTCTATATTTCTACAGTTCTCTGCTTAATAAGAACATCACTGTGTTATGAATAATCTCCGTTGCCTTTATGGAAGGCCTGGTGCAGTGTTTCTTAGCACTTGTACTTTTTTGAGGGTTGAACATGACACTCAATGCTGGAAGAGATTCCCATTTTCTTAATGCGTTAAAAATATAATAGATACGTTGGAGGTTCCTGATGCTGCGGATCAAAAAGCAGGTAGCTGCAGCATTGAGCCCTTCCCGAACAGAAAGAACGGCCTGATCTTATTCCACAAGCCCCTGTCCACCATGAATTTAGAGGATATGTACTGCAGCCTCCAGAAGCAAATCCATTCATATGATGAATGGAATTGCTGAATACGTTGTATTGTGTATGGGGCTGTGTTCAGAATTTGCCAGATTGTACATGTGCACTGCCAAGACTCAGGCTTTCTTAGAGAGTCGAACAGGAAAGATGTGGACAGCCAAATGAGGAACTATATATGTACTACAAAAGGAGCACACCTATAGCTAAATTTGTTTGTTTTTTTTGTGTGCAAATTTCCGTGCAAGAAGACAGGACCAGGAGAACTCCTTGCACCAAAATCGAATTAATGCGCATGGGTTGCATCGCACAGTCTCTTTAGAAAACAGACTCTTTATGAAAATGTAATAGGAGACTGAGCCATTCTGAAATTTTGGGCACCTTGCTCTTTTAGCCTTTCTAAATGTGATTAGGCCAAGGAATGCCAGGGTGATATGCTTTGTTACACTTAACAAATGTTCTCATTACTAAATCACAGCCATCCTTTTAATTCTTTAGATGCCAGAAAGGCGAGCAGTAAACCGTGGAGTAAAGCTCATGCTGGCTTTAAAATTCAAGGTTTTCGAACACCAAACAACCACATAGAAGTCTCTCCCTGTTTTGCCTTTGTCAGTGTTTTGGATTCCAACGAAATAGGAAATTGCTGTGAAAATGAGACCCCCACATTTCTATTAGAATTTCTGTATCGTGCTATGCTTCACAAACTACCCATCATTAGCAATTACAGATGGAGCTGCTACATAAACATGTCATTTTTATTCAAATAATAATTTGCCATTGCGGTCGGATCCCTTGTAAGCTAAGCCACTTCCGTGCTGAATCTCTTTTAATTTTTAATCGTTGAAAGCAGAATCTCATCAACCTCTCCAATAATAATCTTTTTACAGCCAATATAAAGGGCAACAAACGCTCTCGTACACGGACAGACTCCTACTCAGCCGGACAGTCTGTGGGTGAGTTCAGCTTGGAACATTCCTAGGTTCTCAGAGCCTGAATATCATTAACCCTAATTATTTAACACTTGGAGATCTGCTAACATTAGTTTGGAAACAGAGCCTTTCAGTTCAATCAGTATTTATGCACGTCAGTAGAAAAGTGGAAAGGGAATTTGAATGTAGCACAATCTATCTAAAGTGGGAGGTAGCACAGGTGAGGCAGAAGAAAGGACAAATTAATGCATGTAGGGTACTGTCCAGTGATGCTTGATGCCCAGTTTATGTACCAGCTGGTCTGTGGATAGCAGGGGGGGGGAGGGGTAATTTTCCATATAGCTTTCGTTTTTTGCGTGAAATTAAAGGCAGCATTTGGTCCCACAATAAATCATCGGTCTCCCTACTAAACACGGAAATCAAAATGTTAAGACTTCATATTTGTCAAACTTAACATCTGAGGCCAATTCCTTCTTCTGATCAGGTCTCTCTGTTTAGTTGACTAAGAGAATTTCGTCAGCATTTTTAGACTGTAACAACTCTCCCAATAACACACATGGTAATAATTAAATGGAAATTCTCTTTGCAGCTGTGCGTCCACATTATATAATGTCCCTGGGTGTGCGTTACCTGGAGTCAGCCGAACCGCGTGCAAAACAAACACAGACATTATGTCACTAAACTACAGCACACAATCCAATAAGAATGTGATAGAGAATTAGTTTCTAAAAACATCTTGGTATAAAAATAATTTTATTAGCAAGTAAATCTGCCTAGGGCATTGGGACCATTGCTTCAGGGAAACTAAAACTGTACATTTGCTATAGTTTTAAGGAATACAGAATATTTGAGCATGCAATTTGCTTAAAACACTATGCATGTGTATAAATTAGAATGATTAAAAATGTGATGCATGCATTCCATCTTTGTATTTATATGAATATACATTAATAAGTAATCTTGGAATGTGTCTGCATTTAGTGCATCGTAAATGGAACCCAAAGATTTTAAAGGCACAGGCCTCAAACAAATGGTCTTTTTGTATGTATTCCAGCTCTGTGAGTTTACTGGGATGTCACGTCATTGTTTAACTACCAGCTCAAGCTTTATAGGCTTTGTAATTAGGAGAATAGCAGGAAGAATTTTCTAAATAGATTCATTGCTTAACTTGGAAGTTTAAAAAGCATGTTTCAGAATTGTAATACTTTTTCCATAATTTAATTTGTTCACAAAGTTAAAAACATCTGTTGTGTGTTGTGCATTTGATTCATTTCATGGATGATGTCATGATCACTTTTCCATAATATACCATGTGCAGGAGGGATTTTCTGTAGTCCATATTGTAATGTTTTTCAGTATAATAGCAGGTAGCTCTTGGTTGCTATTTTAGACGACTTTAGATGTAATCTTAGTTTTGATCATGGTTTGATTTAATAGTGATCTTTCTTTCCCATTGCAGAAATGTTGGATACAGTGGAATTAGGTGAAACTACGCACAAAAAACCTGGAGGAAGTACTGTACCAGAATCTATCCATACGTTTAGTAAGTCTATTTCACCATTTGTACAAAACCTCCCCATTTGATTAGAACATCTTGTACAAAACTGGTGTGACACCTCATAGATAAACCATTTAGTCTATATCATGCCTATATGAATTGTCTTTGGTAAAGAGGTAGAATGTATTTCAATGTCCAAGTGAAATACAGGAATTATTCCCTGTCATATTTGGCTCCATCCCAAAAGGCCATGATTTATTTCACACAAGTCATTCAATTAGTGCATGTGATGTATACTGCAGGTAAGTATTTATTCATCTACACATTTACAGGGAATTCTTACTTCACATTTCCACTAAGGGGACCTTGTTCTTTGTATGTTTGTCTATAAAACATATATTTAGTGGATGTTAGTGGATCTTTGTTTTTGCTTTCGTAATTATACAAATATTTTGCAGTCAAGTTTGTTTTCATTCATCTTGTGTGGTTGAAGCATAGCTTTTCCATTGTGCTTAACAAATATCTTTTTTTGTTTGCAGTTGGTGATGGTCTGGTACAGCCCGAAGCTTTAAATAAAAAAGCTATACAGATTATTAACAGGGTTCGGGACAAGCTAACAGGTAAAATTAGCCTGTCTCCAAATGTTTGCCATTCTAATAGCAAAATTATAGTAAAAAATGCAGCTCTGTCTGTTAAAACCTGATGGTTCAAAGCTCTATTCCCGATTAGATTGACTGGGTTTGCTACAGCTTGAATAAAACTCACTCATAGCATCCCCCACCCCAAGCAAGTGCCCAGAGCACCAGCCTTGCAAAGGCTTCTCATTGAGCTGCATTGGGACGTCTGTGATTGGACAGACACACAAAGTCTGAGTGGGGTTAGAAGGAGGGAGCTTGCAAAGGCTGCAGACAAGAGATCTGCAGCTTTTGCAGGTTGGTTTTTAGATATACCCCTGATGGAAATGCATAATAACATGCATGTTTTCATTGGGTTTACATCTATAGAATAACATTTTATTTATTTCTTTTATTTGGGCCGTAGAAATACAATTAACAAACATTAGGGATACAAAAACCTCTGGTCTTAAGACATTCTGATCACACCCTTTAAAGATTATTTTATTATGGTTTCAGTCCTTCTAGGGAACACATTTAAATAATCAGTGGGATTATGTTTTCCCCCAAGAGATGGGAACAGTGTTGTTCTAATACAATTGCAGAATATTGTTTATTTTTGTTATTTTGGAAAACTTCCTTCTGAGACAAAACCATTACATTATGTAATTTTATCAGTTCAGCATTGATTTAAGACAGACTTTAGCTTTTCAACTTTATATTATTATTATTACTATTTTTTTAAATAATACAAAACCGGTTATGACCACCTACCAAAAGACGGGGCTATGACAAACCCTTTCTCTTTATATCATTTTATTTCAGGACGGGACTTTAACCATGAAGAAACGCTAGATGTCTCCACGCAGGTTGAGCTGCTGATTAAACAAGCCACGTCCCACGAAAACCTCTGTCAGTGTTATATTGGATGGTGAGTCCCCCAGTCTTGGAAATATCCCTACTCCATTATCATAAAGTCATGTGGTGCACTTTAACTTCATCAATACTGAACTCCAGTATATAGTTTAAAAAAAAAAAAAATATTTCTTTAAGCTCTATTATCAATGTCTAGATAATAAGTTTCTGATGTGTTTAAAGTGGACTTTTCACTCAAGCGACAATGCCACCTCAGAGAATTTTAAGACTGTATTGCATACATTGTGCTAGCTAAATTGGCAGCATAGATTGAAAAATTCACCTTGCTGAAGTTTGTTGTTGTCTTTCATTATGTATACGTGCCCACCAACCAGTGCTGAAGATATCACTGGGGGAAGAAAAATAAATATGCGCAAACCCAGTGTGGTTGGGCATGCTGTATTTTCCACTCTGAAATGAGGAAAAATTTAACTTGGTGTGTCTTTTTTCTTTTTTTAGGTGTCCTTTTTGGTAGGAACTAGTGTCTGTGAACATCTATGCCTTTCACAGCAGTCCATGAATCTGTCTTCAGAGATCTGTAAAGGAGATTCTGACTTGATTGTCCTCAGGATCCTTTGTCTTGTGGACAAATGGGAGATGTGCAAGAAACGGAGGCCAACATATTGCAGTCTCTTGTTCCTGTTATAGGGGTTTAACTTGTACTGTGTACTTTCTGTATATATTGAAGTCTGTGACGTTGGTCATGCTCGCAAATGGAAACTGAGCCGTCAGTACCACATGGATCACCACATTTTCTGTTTGCTGGAACAAAAAGACCAGAAGACGATGGCTCCAACATCAAATCACGATGGCAAATATATAACCCGATGCCATGAAAATTATGGTTGTTGAAAACAAAATGTATATGTGAGTTTAAAAAAAAAAAAAGTGTGGATTTGTTCAGCAATGAATTTTGCAGGGTCAGCCGATACCCTCAGTAAGTAGAATGTAAATGCTTGTCAGCAGTTGGAAGGAACATGGATCGTTTCCCAAATAATTAAAGAATGTTGGATTTATTTTTTTTACCCCCCTTGTGTGACACTGGGAACTATAAGCAATTATTTTAATGGCGCTCTCTGTTATGTCAACAGAATCTGGGAGAGACAGACAGAGCTAAATGAGCGTAAATGACACAACAGAAAAACAAAATGCTTATTTTATTGTAAATATCAAAAATATTGTATTGTCGTATATTTTCTATGTTTGTAAGTGGATGTATAAAGCAGCTATTTCATTGTGCCCTGAAAACTAAAAAGGCATCAAACACACAAACCATGGTACATGTAAGGGCCCATCTTAATTTCCCGAGTTTTCCATTACTTCCAAGCTGAACACTCTGTTAATTCATGAAAGGCAATGCGGACTGAACTGGTGCGTTGCACAGTAACATGATCATTCATGAAACAATGTTTTTACTCTGATCAATGGGAAACTACTGGATATTAAGTTTGACACAATCACAAGTAGGAAACTATTGTATATATGTAAAAAAATAAATAAATCAATTTCTCTTCTTGACAAATATAGGCCTCAATATGTACTAAACCCAGCAGTTTCAATACTTTTTGATATGAATAATGTAAAATAAGCATTTTTGTTTGCCTTTATTGTCCCTTTAACATTTTCCTAGCAGCATTTAAGAATAAACATGGAGGATGTACTTGAGTAAAATATCACACACATGTACACTCTTGTGCAAACTATCTTAAAGGGACACTATACTCATCAAAACCTCTTTGGGTTAATGAAGCAGTTTTTGTGTATAGATCATGTCATTGCTCAATCATCTACCATTTAGGAGTTAAATTACTTTGTTTATGAACCCTAGTCACACCTCCCTGCATGTGACTGGCACAGCCTTCCTAAACACTTCCTGTAAAGCAAATTGGAATGTTTATTATTGCACATTCTGTTTAAGAATTTATCATCTGCACTAATACTAGCTTGCCAGACCTCGAAAGAGCTTCTAGTGTGTGATTAAAGTTCAATTTACAGAGCAGGAGATAAAAACGTCTAACGTAAGTTAAAGGGACACTCCAGACACTAAAAACAACTTCATCTAAATTAAGTTGTTTTGGTGCCAGGATGCCCCTGGGAGCACTCTCATCTCAAGGGGTTAAACAGTTTTCAAACTCAAAGTTGCCTCCAGCGGCCATGTCCATGCTTTTCCCCACACCCCCTCAGTCCACATCCGGCTTCTGAATTTTAAGACTCAGGAAGCACAGAGCACCGCAGGGCAGGGGCGCTGCTGATTGGCTGAGAGTGAATGCATTTCTTTCCAAACCAGTTTAGTGAATGGGAAGGCACTGATTGGCTGAGAGCTTCAGCTGGCTGCTCAATCAGCAGCGCCCATATCTGGCGGCGCTCCACACTTATTGAATCTAAAACTTTTTAAGCCGGATGCCGCCAGGGACAGGGTGGACATCACCCCTAGAGTGCCCATTTAAGATCTGATTTGAAATGTAAATCATTTTGTTTTCAATCAGGCTGTGCGATTCACAGCCAGGGGAGGTGTGGCTAGGGCTGCATAAACAGAAACAAAGTGATTTAACTCCTAAATGGCAGTGAATTGAGTAGTGAAACCTCAGGCGCATGATCTATACACCAAAACTGCTTCATTAAGCTAAAGTTGTTTTGGTGACTATAGTGTCCCTTTAAAGTTATTAATTTCCATGTATGTCTGAACAGACTTGTATTAATTTGTACACATTTGCTGCCTTTAGCTTGATATGTAGACTCTTTTTAATGCTCGACACACACATACGTGTATATATAAGCTTTAAACGTACAATAATGTGCTTTGTAGAAGTTGTGTTAATCTAGAAGCTGTGTGGGGCAGTTTCTCTGTGTTCGCCATTTACAGATTCCCATAGAGCATTATCAATAGTTAACATATAGAAACATATGGCTGTAAAGTAAGCCTATCGAAGGACTTTCCCAATATCAATAAAACTGCAGGTAAATAATTATCTGAAACAGCATTTTAGGTGGTTTTATATCAAACGACCGTGAGTGGTTATATTTAAAGGTGTGTGTGTATATAATTGTACAGGACTACATACATAGTTGTTGTTGTTGTTGTTTAGATTCATTAAATATGTTTGTTTCTCAGATGCTTGCGAATAAAAGGAAACTATTGCAATACCCAGTAGAGTAGCCTTCATAGTTCATGTATAAGACCTGACAATTCATAATTCATTCTCAGATTTTTTCTTCTTTATAATGTGTACTAAATCGAAAACAAATATTCATAAATATGATGTGACTCACTAATCAGAATTCAACGGGCAGCGTTTACGCTTTGAGTGCTGGTTACGTACAAAAGCCCTGGAGGAACTTATATTGGGAGTCTTTAGAAGAACAGTATGACATTCCTTCAGATGTAAGAATTCTAGAATGCTGAGGGACAGCAAAGTAACAAATATATATATTTTTATATTTCTGAGTAAAATTGGTATATGTTAATCCAAAATGTTTGCAAGCTGAGATATGAGGTCTTTATTGCAGCATTTCAGTGACGATTACAACTAAATGAAAATAAGGTCATATAATGGGGCCAGTCTTAATTGTAACAATATTTATGGATAATATAAAACTACCTGTGAAGAAAGAAACTCCATGAAATATCTCTTAGAACGTACTAAGCAAACCTGGCTAAAGTAATGTTGCAGTAATATTTGGTCATGTAGTAGGCCTTTCATTGCATCATAAAACTGATTCTTGGCATTGATATTCATTAAACATTTTTCATCCTTTACTGTCCCTTTAATAAATGCATTATTGCTTGTTTGAAGGTAGACGCCATTGACTGTTTTTTTTAACCATCTGTTTGCCAGATTTAACCTTTCTGCCATCAATAAATGTTGCCATACTGAATTTATGAATTTAGTCCAATACAACCAGCTCTGTTTTGTATGTCCATTATTTTTTCATACACCTTTAGTCTTTGCTTAAAGTTTCTTCCTTCATTTTATCCTCCAAAATAATTGATATATATATTTTTTTTTTTCCTCCATTTATTTGCCTATATTCTGCCAGATTCAGGACAGAGAAAATAATCCATTAATTGGTTTAGAACACATTTCAAAATTTAATTTAGTGTATTTTCCTTTTTATTTAATTTTTTGAATGGGGGGAATTGTCTTCGATTTCTATCTACGGATTTGATTAAATATGTAAAGTCGAATAAAATACTATTACGCAATAATTACGTGTTTTTACTGTTTGGTTTTATTTTTCTCTAAGGTAATTACATCTAGACCCTGTGGTCTACATAAAAGTAATCAAAAGCTGTACCTTTCCTAATTAAATATAAATGGCCATTACAAGGACTAAAAGAACATGCTGGTTAATTTGCACACTGTGTTTATGGCCTTAAAATACACATCGATAGTGCAATCTGTTCTGTTTTTGAAGGTCAAAGAGTTTACTTGTCCAAAGGGTTTTGAGTGTTCCTTAAAAAGCACAATCCTTACTCATTTTATTTATTTATTTTAAATGCATCATAAAACAGCTTCCTAAATTTCATCTCCACAAATTGCTGTCCAATTAATAAAAAAAAAAAAAAGATTGTAATTAGGGATAACAACACACGAAAAGGATGACTCTCCTTCCAAAAATGTTATATTTTCTCAGGACAATTCCCCTTTCTGTACATTTATCTTTTATTCAAAAGGTTCACTCTGCCCGTATAGCATTTATTTGGAACAAAAAAACCAAGTAGGATTAAATTAGCCATTTTACAAAAGCTCAGGATTAGTGGAGGTATGGGTTTGCCAAACTTTATCCATTATTACGCGACCAATGCCGCAATGGCAATCAAATGTAATTTGGATAACGTCCATCCCCAGTGGCTTGAGATGGAAGGAAATTAAATTCTCCCTTATTTAATTAAAGACTTACTGTGGCTGCCTCCTTCTCAGTGCCCGCGATTGGCAGAGATGTTTCCCTCTACTAAAATTACCTGTTATACACTCAGACACATTACTGAGAGTATTATTGCTGTGGAGCTCTGTTATACACTCAGACACATTACTGGGAGTATTATTGCTGTGGAGCTCTGTTATACACTCAGACACATTACTGGGAGTATTATTGCTGTGGAGCTCTGTTATACACTCAGACACATTACTGGGGGTATTATTGCTGTGGAACTCTGTCATACATTCAGACACATTACTGGGAGTATTATTACTGTGGAGCTCTGTTATACACTCAGACACATTACTGGGAGTATTATTGCTGTGCAACTCTGTTATACATTCAGGCACATTACTGGGAGTATTATTACTGTGGGGCTCCATTATACACTCAGACACATTACTGGGAGTATTATTACTGAGGAGCTCTGTTATACACTAAGACCCATTACTGGGAGTGTTATTGTTGTGGAGCTCTGTTATACACTCAGACCCATTACTGGGAGTGTTATTGCTGTGGAGCTCTGTTATACACTCAGACACATTACTGGGAGTG